ATTTCTTTCCATAAATATATTATACAAATAGCGAAAATTGCCAATATGACAGTAGATATTCACCAAAGTCTGTATACTTTTCTATATCTGATCATTTTGAAGTTGTATTCTTCAGTATAATCAAACCAAAGAAATGTCACACCCAAGTTCGACCTAAAGCATAACAACACCGATATCTAAATAGGAGCCACCGAGGGACTTCTGACGAAAGTGCTGGATATATATATCGTGACTGATAACGCGGCCATCTCTTGTAGAAATGCATTCCACAGTCATTCGGTCACTATGGTTCCCAAGATATAGAGTGAATAATACAAGTTATACGCAACCCTATCGGGAAATGCATTTCTGTAGAGCTGTATTCTTTCAAATGGGACATAAAAGGTATCACGGCATAGCCAGACAAACTGTATAGACCTTCAACTGAAACTGACCTGACTTTTGAGGTTGTTCTCCAGGTCTTGGGAATTAAAGTCCTCATCATACTTTTGAATACGGAAATTGCGGTGTTTGTCAACCTCTGATGTCTCCTATATGGAAAGGTCAAACGGTAACAAATATCAAGTGACAATGGATGTCCATGCTGGCAGCGACTGAGCACCATCTTTATCCATCTCAAGTAACATCGCATGAGAATTAGCCTAAAAATTTCCCTAGCTTAAAATTACTCAGTACTGATGTAATCTTACCAAGAATAAGATCTTGCTTATGTCGAGGGTTGATGATTTTTCAAAAACATGATAATGTGGGTTGTTTGTCATGCAGGACTGGGGTGCTGCGATCTATTTCCTTCAGATGGCGGCTACTTATGCTCTAGAAAGTAACAGTGATAAGCGCAACTTCCCGTAACTATGAATCATTCCGACATCGTGTCATGATATTCCGTGATGGAAGTGAATAATCTACTTTCTAAGCTTCCCTGTTCGAGAATGAATCTCACGAATCAGCATGTCATTGACAAGGTATAAGAAAGACTAATTGCCTAACATCATATAGCCGAAAGCAAATGATAGTTTCCTGTGCCTCCTAACATATTAACTTGGGAGGGAGTGGAGATTTAAAAAGCCTTGGCCCTTGAGGTTAGAATTCGATGCAGTACTAGGACGGTTGATGTGGTACACTAATAGCTGTGAACAAAAATAACACGACATTAACAGTGAATACTAACAAGACATTGAAAAGCAAGTATCTTATATGACAACAATACATAACTATTCGTACCTCAATCTTTTTAAAGACCCAAATTTTGTTTCCCGGATGGCGAAATCGAGTAGTGCTTTCAACAGATCTATTAATGTCTACACGGCATTTGTTGTGTTTAAAAATTTGAGTTCTCCCCTGAACGAATCCTTTGTATACTCGGTGCACCTGTTAAATGATCAGAAAAGGGTATTGAAATTGGATTGTGTAGGAGATTCACTGAAATATTCAAAACGCATAACATTTGACCCATCCCCACAAATCTTACATCCGTTACCCCTCAATAGCCGAGAAACCTCCAAAACCAATATATTAAATATGCCCTTCCAAGTTACCTGATAGAGACCCTGCGTCTAATCAGATCCCAACACCTTCAATAGACTACCCCGACTATCCTCGTGAGAAAATTTTTATAGACTACGCTACAATGAAGAAGAAAAATCACAAAAATGATCTCACAACTCCGAGATTCCTCAGACGAAAACCTCACAGGATCAGCAATGGGTGGCTAGGGTCCGGGAATAGCAGGAATTATGAATTAATCTTTACTACTGACGTCCAAGTCCTAGATGTTTTAGAAAATGAGACAGGAGGCTTGTAAGTAAACTTTGAAAAGGATGAAAGCACTTTTCTGTGAATATATCAGATGAGAGTCCGTAGTAATGGAACATTTCTCCAACCTTATAAGTATGTTCCACCAAGATATATTTTATGGCAAAAAAGCTCAAATCAACCGACAACTATCGACTTTACAGGTGGCAAGACATTCTGAGGTTTCCTCGTGTCGTAGAGACTCGGTCAGCATGCTACTATCAGCATCCGTGCAAGGAACTGATCTAATCGGAGATATTATTTTCAAGTTCAGATACTTCAGAGATGGTTCTTTCGACCCAAATATGAAGATAATGTATTTGATTAGATTAGAAATTCAGGATTCTTGTCTTGTAGATAACCCGATTTAAAACCCTAGATTATAGATATTTATTCCATAGAAGACTGATTATTATCTAATAATACTTTTAGTTTGACTTATATAATTATCGTATAATCATGATGTTACCTGCCTATTCTCACCACCCCCCTTACCACCCTCACACAGACCACTATAGTAGTTCACTATAAGAGTTGCTATTCTCTGTCGTTTTTTGAGCGTCGAGTAGACTAAGAATGTGGAAAAGAGATGATACAAGTCAGCTTAATCTACCCTACTACTAGAACTTTGGGGGAGTAGATTCTCAGTTGAGGCCTGCATTATTCGTCCATTCGAGACTACAGATCCTATCTCGACAGACCGACAACAAATACGATTCAGCCCAGTGTCAATAAATATGAAGTGACAAAAAGAGCAAAATTCGACAATAACAAGTTTTGAGAGGTACATGAAAAAGGAATATAGGTGAACCTTTAAGAGGACTAGGAAGTCCCTCGAGTTGAACATCATTCGGCACTGGAAAGATAAGGAGGAACATACACAGCAAGCAGCCGCGACGGTACTTGCGACCGCTTGAAGGACAACTTGAAGGAAAGTAATCGTAGAAAGACATTATTGATTCACTGACCCAGATTGAGAAGCAGATGCCAAGTATCGGTATCGGTACTGTGGGTGTGATATCTTGTGGTTCTTCTGCCCTCTTTCTACTATAATCTAACCTAGTACTTACAGTGAAGATATATCCCAACTGAATCGGTGAAGTGAATGCACAAATGAATATAGCACTCCACGCCCCAAACCTCTTTGTTACCGCACCAACAGATACCTATAAAAGCTTATTCCTTAACCCTGAACTACCTCATAAACCAATGTAAGATCTTACATTATTAGGGACTAACAGCTTGTTGTAGGCGTCTCGTTTTGACCATGTAACAATACAATTGATATTATCAGCACACGTAAGTCTTTAAGTAAGAGTACTTTCACTCACTGCCGTAATTCATAGCTCTATCTTCTGCACCTCGAGAGTAAGATGTCAGATTATGATTCTCGTCCATAGTGACTAGACGATAATGTATTCGTGGTAGCGGTAAAAGAAAACAACAACATAAATATAAACATATTGACTAATATCAGATGCATAGTCTGAACATTAGATCAATACAAAAAACATACACCAGGCCGAATCCCAAGTCAAGTCAAGTAAGAACAAATGACCTTAAACCAAAGATACATCGGTCGTTGAACACCAAATTATCATGGTGCCACATTTGTGTTACTTGCATGGAAGCAAGCTTTTCCTTGTACATTTCCAACATGGTCGACCTGAACAAAGATCAGAAGCCTTTAAATAAGGCAGGCAGGCATGCCGACTTTATCCTCAATGCCCCTACCCACTATTCCATACCTCTCTTTCCTCCATCATATACTAGTTATTAGTACTCCACATTTGCAATTTCAGTGAATATACCATTGCATTTAATACAAGCAAACCCAAATCTACATCAGCAAAGCCACAACCTGATTACTTATCATTCTATAAGAATCAAGACTACTCAAATCTTTCTAATGAAATAGGCAAATCATCTAACTGATCTCAGAATATCAACGAGAGGGTAAAGCTGCCGAGGTTGGCGTGGTCTAGCTTTGGGTAAGGTACCAAATATCACACTTGAGGCCTTTTGCTTGACTTGATCTTCAAGTTTCAAGAAATAATAGAAAAATATACCCTAGATCTGTATCTTTCTGAATACTACTAGTTGTGTGATACTAGCATCTCATCTTCACCGAACAACCGAACGATGGCGACGAAAAAGGTTTAGATAAAAGTATGTAAGCACAATATCGACAACGCACTGAAAATAAATCAAAACGACAGTGATATGTATTCATTCTCCTTAACACCCCAAAGCATACACATAAACTTGTATTCTATTCCTGAATGAAGAGTATCGCCCTCCCTAAACCATATTTGGTCTATAGTGATCTGCGAGTACCAGTTACCAGATCCGATACGATGTTACCAATCGATGAGGAGCTTCCTAGTAGAACTCTTTTGATTATCATTTTCAATCCTCTTCTCTTGGTTTTATATAAGATATTCTATATATTCTGCTTCAACACCTTTAAACACATAGAAAAAGATCATCAAATATAGAAAAAGAAAAGAGGGAGAGGCTGGGAATAAGGCTAGAAACGAGTTTCTGAAGTCAAAAATGCTTGGTTACTTGGGATGGGACGAGATTGATAAGATGAGAAGCTTTGTTATTTTTATGAATCTTAGCTTAGGTAACTTGAAGTACACACTTCTTCATTCTGCGATTAGATATCAATAATATTGAGCTCCAGGTTGTACACAGATGCGATATTCCCCCAGAGATCATTCCAAAAGTATTCACAGTCACGTTATGAGCAAGACAACTACTGACACTGAGATAATAGATACAAGACACGAGAATACATTTTCACTTTAGCACTGAACAGTTCCTAGCCCGAAGACGAGAATTTTGGGACTGGAAGTTTCATTGTCACCTCGAATACTAAAGAATACTTGAAGTTAAGATAATAGTCACAGGACAAGAAAGCCCATTCCTACCTTTGACACTGTACAATGACCAACTCATCCCACAGCCGGCTGCCGGGAGATTAAATTTGTTCATCTTGGTCTCTAATTCTAAATGCAAGTATTCAATACAACTATTCACTCTTTCACTAGCCACAAAGATTTTGCCACCCCCCTCGTTTATTTAGTACTGAACAGAACAATTTAGTACTTCATCCATCTACACCTTCAGCCTACCTACCTTTAATCCACTTCAACCTACCTTCAACCTTCAGCAAATCCAATAGTCAACAAAGAAACATCAAAATGGCGAAGAAGGAAAGCAAGCTCAAATATCTCGCAGACACATATCCCGATAATCTCCTCTACTGGCCAACGGCAGATGAAATGACTGGGCACAATGACCAAGACAGAAGAAAATACCTCGAGACACTTAACTTTAAGTTTTTAATTCCCTCCACAGAGATATCCATCATCCATCATCCATCGATCTCAATACTAGACCATTCTAGCCAAACTAATGAATCACAACTTACTTACTCCATCCAGGGTTCAACACATACCGTGATTTTCGTCGTGATAATCCCGAAGGCGACAGTTATCTCATGCGCCTTGGTTCAGGCAACTACGAACGTCTCTTCCCCAACTATGGCCCTATCAATACAATGAGATCATTAGAGACTCGCATTTACAAGGTTCGTAGAGATCTGAAAAAACTGCTGGCGAAAAATGAAGCAGCTTTAGGAGTATGTATTTGACCCCGAACAGTTTGAAGAGGATACATGCTGATAACAATATGAAATAGCTTGATAAGGCCACGATACTTGCTCGCCAGGTTCAAAGACGGCAAGCTCAAGCTCGAGCCCAAGCCCGGGATCGGCCTAGGGTACAAGCTGCAGCTTCGTCTCTTGTGCCAAATCAGCAACAGCAACAACAACAAGTTGATCACACCCATTCTAATCCCCCATCCTCTAGCTACATGCCCAGAACCTCAGCACCCCGCCCACCGCACTCAAATTCTCACCCCTCAGCACAGAATCTCTCTACGATTCCTCCTCAAGCTGGCGTCCACCCTCCTACTCCAAGTCCCCCTTCGCATCCACAACCTCAACCGTCTAATAACAGATCGCAGCCTCGCCAGCGTCGCAATTTTCCAACCTCAAGTGACGTCGCCGCGTATTACTCAGCTAGAGAATTGGCACCCCCTGGACGCCTTATTCGAGCTTATCAGCCTACTTCTACTTTTACTGACGTTGACCAAGCTTATGAGGATACTCAGACACGAGCACAAACTGGTGATTCAAGCCAGTCTCCACGAGGTCGTTCGTATGGCGCCAATCAACGTATGCCTTTTCCTCTTCCTGCTTCTCCACATCCTGCCTTTGAACCTCCAGCAGCTGCGGAAAGAGAAATTCTCCAAAATGGCCGCGATACGAGTTTAGAACCTCCTCGCCATCCAACGCCTTCTCAAATCCCACCCAGTGGCCCAGAACATCGAGCGAATCTAGGCTCTCTCACCAGCAACACCGCTGGCAATCAATCCCCAGCCGACTCTGGTCGCTCGCGAGTTCAGCACTCCGAGCGTAGCTTGGACGGGCTTGTTAGGAGAATACAAGCACAACACAATTCTCTTCCTCAGCGATTGACCCCCACCCAGCAGGTAGCTCAACAGCAACTCCATCGCGACCCCCGTCTCCCCCCAAGAAACGCACAGGGCCGACACCCACTCCCCACATCCCCCGTCCCAGGTCTCTCAACACCCCTCCCCACCCCCAGCTTGTCCATCCTACCTCCTCCCACCCACACCACACACTTACAACCACCACCTCCTCGCATTCCAGCTACAGCTCCAGCTACAGCTACCCCCAATCCACCTCCACCTCCATCCAAAACTCCAACCACAACCCCCCTCGAAAACTGGCGTATCATCTCCCCCATAAACCATCAACCTCCAACTTCAAATCGAAGACCAACCATGTGCCCTCAGTCCGCATCTCAGGTTGCAGAGCCAGCTTTGGATTTGGATTCGGATTTGGATGATATGGAGCGGGATGCGGTGGATTTGTATTGTGCGGTTTTTGAGAGTTCAAACGGAAGTTCGCGTGGGGATTAGATGGAGATGGAGATGGAGATGTGGATATACCTATCTGCCGGTCGGTTGGTATATGGTTGGTTGGTTGGTATGTGGTTGGTATTTGGTTGTTTAATTTATTTGAGGGATGAAGGATGAAGGGTGAAGGGTGAAGATTGATAAAAAGCTTCTGTTTGTTGTGGGAGGGGAGGGGAGGGGAGAGTAAAAGGTATCATGGATCATGGATCACAAATGAAATATTAATACAGCTAAGAATCTTTTGAGCTCGCAAATCAAGAAAAAAAAATCAGAAAGTCAATACCTTGAACCTAAATCTTAATATCATTGAGAAATTGTGAACTCCGCGACCCGTTCAATAACCTACCCACCCGCTCATGTATGCATGCATGCCGTCTAAAGAATATCTACCCCAAAACACCTCTGACCTAGCACAAACAGACTTGATATCCAACCAACCCATTAAAACACCGTAACTCCACTTACAGTTCCATTCTTCAACACCTCAAATACCAATCCTGGAAATCCAAATAATGTAGTATTTCCTAGCCCTTTCTCATCTTCCTTTCCCGCATTTCGCTTTCCACCTACGCTGTCTTCCCAACCACCGAGTAGTTCGCAACTACTTCCTGGACTATCACCCCAGTCGCGATTAAGTACCATACCTCGCTGTCGTTGTTTTGCTTCTTCAACATTATCATAGATGCTTTTCCATTCGTTATAAAGATTGCTTTCGATTGATGAGAAAGGAGTTTCGGAATTCATAACCATGATCTTAGATTTAGATTTTGGGGAAAGATATTCAATCTCCCAGCGACAGCGGCGATGACGATTAAAGGGATATGAGCCTGGGACGTTGCCATGTAATATCACCTTTGTAGCTACTACACGAGCAGTAGTATCTGCAGGAATGACTCGATTGTTTTCCTGTTGAGAGCGTGCCTTGGATGGGGGAAGTTGTGAGGGTGTAGCGGGAGTAGAGACCAAGACATCAAACCCGTGGTAGAAGTAATTATAGAAGCATTCTCCCGTAACATTTCCTGCTGCTTCTCCTTGATTGCTTTCATCATCAGAGTCATCGGTAGCAGTGTGGGCTGAAGATTGATCTGTATCGGTAGAGTCATCTCGTAGGTCCGTGGAAGCTGGGCGCCTCCCGATGCTACTTGTAGTTCGAGCTTTATGGATTGACATCTTTTGATCATTCTTTCGATATATAGCATCGGGCGGCCCAAGTTCAGCGACAAGCTCCTGAGGGGTGGTTTCGCCGAGAAGAATCCAAAAAGGGGCGCTATTGAAACGACGAACCAACTCAAGTTTGCCCCCACCATAAAGGCGAACAAGGCCAACTTCATCTGCGACTGGCTCTCGACCTTTCGTCAAAGGGGTAAATGTCTTTAAAGATTCTAGGGTCTGCGTATATAAATTGTCTCGTGCCTCTGGCCAAGATTCCCCTGAGAATATCGCCATGGAAGAAGCAGGCTGACTAGCAGATGATGAGAGGAGCGACACAACATCTTTTCCCGGAGACCATGATGCTCTATGGATAGGGAATGAAAATGCAATACCGGGATATGATAACACATATAGGCCCATTTCAGTCTCATCTCCAACTTCGGGTTTGATGTATTCCCCAGGAAACGTAGGTCCAATTAAACTCTTGTAGATATGTCGAAAGGTTGGTCCAGTGAGATGCCCCGTTCCTACGCTATTTGGAGAAACAGTTCCACCAGATCTTAAAACCTCTCGATCATTGTATGTAAGTTTATTCTTCGTAAATTCCAACACTTCTATTAATCGCAGACGTTGCTGAGGTCCATCGAAGCGTAAACGGATTCCATTAGAGGGTAGGCTGAGGATAACAGGCTCATCGACAGGAGCTGTAGGCTCATAGATCAAGTCGAGCTTAGGAAATCGTTGTGGTTCTGCTTTTATTCGTGTGATAATCTCGTGAAGTGAAGCTCCTAGGACTGAGGATATACTATCAGTTTCCATTCTTTGTGAAGGGGAACATTCATTCCGATTTAACTATTATTACCTACCTAGAAAGCCCAGAGCTCGTCCAGGATGGACTTGAGCGCTGAATAGCGACATATCTGCTACATTTGTGGTTGAATTTGAATTACCAGCAGATAATAAAGGAGGTACCGGTATGTTTGAAGTATTTAGATATTGCTTCAATGATTGAAAATGAGGAGTGACAAGTCAAGAGTGATGGCATCTTGGTGGGGCATGAAGCTCGTGATTCTGGCTGGGTACTGAGAACTGAGTAGAGTGAAAGTGGGTTAGTCAGTTACTGTATTTATTTAGTTTGATTGCCGAGGCAACGGGTTTTGGTGGAAGAGATGAAATGTCGATCAAGCATCAAATAATACAACAACAACAACAACAATAACGACAACAATAACGACAATAATACGACAACATTTTATTTCTATAGGTAAAAATAAAAGTATATTTATTATACTTCAAATTCTATAATCAATATCAAGTCATATGCTGGCCACTTTTACACCTTTTCATTAATTTACGCGTCGAATCCGACTAATGGATACCGGATACCACAAATAATCAAAACAAAACAAACTTTAACTCAGCAACACAGCAACATACTTCTTTCCTTCGGGAGACATAATTACTTTCTTCGATCAAGCACCATACCATCGCCAAGTAATGGCAGGAATACCTCGAGCAGCGCCAGCTGTAAACAAAAGGACGAATACTATGCGACCTCCACCAAGACCTTCAAGTTCTCTGGCTCCTAGACCCTCAAGTTCTCTAGCACCAAGACCTTCTAGTTCAAGAACAATCTCCGCAATGCCACCGCCGTCGAGATTTGGTCCAGTATCACCAACAGGATCCGTCGCATCGGTTGCAACATCTACAACAGGAACGAAGAGGAAAGAGAGAGATTTTGAACACGATGGAGGTGGAGAAACAAATATCAACGTCGTGGTACGATGTAGAGGTCGAAATGAGCGCGAAGTCAGAGAAAACAGTGGAGTTGTACTTTCAACAGAGGGAGTAAAGGGCAAGAATCTTGATTTATCCATGGGACCTAGCGCGCTCAGCAATAAGAGCTACCAATTCGATAAAGTCTTTTCATCTGCTGCAGATCAAGCAATGATGTTCGATGATGTTGTAACTCCAATTCTTGACGAGGTAATTTGACTCTATAATTTACACATGTAGGATCCACTGATCATTTTAGATGCTTGCGGGATATAATTGTACGATATTCGCATACGGTCAAACTGGAACTGGAAAAACATATACGATGTCTGGAGATATGAGCGATCATTTTGGAATCCTTTCAGATAACGCTGGAATCATACCTCGTGCCCTTCACGCCTTGTTCAACAAACTCGCATTAGACGATGCAGAATCCTCGGTGAAGTGTTCATTCATCGAACTCTATAATGAAGAGCTGCGTGACTTGATATCGGTGGACGATAAGACAAAATTGAAGATTTACGATGATACCAGTAAGAAGGGAAGCTCCAGTACAATTGTCCAGGGCATGGAGGAATCGCATATCAAAACTGCTGGGGATGGTATTAAGATTCTACAAGAGGGATCCTTCAAACGACAGGTTGCAGCAACCAAATGTAACGACCTCAGTAGTAGAAGTCACACGGTCTTCACAGTCACTGCCTACATCAAAAGGACAGCTGAAAATGGGGAGGATTATGTTAGCGCTGGCAAATTGAACTTGGTTGATTTGGCAGGAAGTGAAAACATTCAACGCAGTGGTGCCGAGAACAAGAGAGCTGCTGAGGCTGGTTTGATCAACAAGAGTTTATTGACTCTTGGTCGTGTCATAAATGCTCTGGTGGATCGAAGTTCTCGTGAAGTTCATATTCCTTATCGTGAATCCAAACTCACTCGTCTTCTTCAAGATTCATTAGGTGGACGAACGAAAACATGCATCATTGCTACAGTTTCCCCTGCTAAAAGTAACTTGGAGGAGACAATTTCGACGTTGGATTATGCATTCAGAGCCAAGAACATTCGCAATAAACCTCAGGTCAATCAAATGGTCAACAAAAAGACACTCCTTAAGGAATTCACATACGAAATCGAGAAACTCAAGGGCGAACTTATTGCCGCTAGGCAGCGAAATGGAGTATATCTTACCAATGAGAATTACGAGGAGATCACAGTCGAAAGTGAATCGCGAAGGATACTCAGTGAAGAACAAGGAGCGAAAATCGAGACTATGGAAACGAATCTCCGAAATAAGGTCCAGGAATTGTACTCTTTAACTTCCAACTTCATGACTATCAAGAGAAAAGTCGAGATCGCAGAATCAGTGTTAGATGAGACAAAGGGTGTCCTAGAGCAAACAGAATCGGTACTCGAAAATACTCGCCGGACTTTAGAGGAAGAATCTGTTCTTCGAAAAGCTCACCAGGACACCGAAAAACAACTAAGTATTATTGGTGATGAGCTTCTTCATACTTTGGGACGCACAGTAAACGACGTTAGCGGTCTTCATGATAAGAACCGGCGGAAGTCAGCCCTTCAGACTCTGAATCGAAATGCCTGGGGCCTTTCACAGGCCCAGGTCTCTGAGGTAACGAATCTCGTTGAATCGCGGGTCGAAGGATTCCGAGTTCAGCAACAAGAACTTATGGCCGCCGTCTCAGGCCGAATGCAATCATTCGTGGATGGCGAACTGGAAAGGTTGGCGGCAACACAAGCATTCCTGGAGGAGAACGTTGTCGCTTTTGAAAACTCCGGAAAGGAGGTGACCGAGCAGACGGATTCGGCCAAGGAAAAGACGAACGCAGTTTTGGAGGAGATTAAAACTCTTCGGGCAGATGTCAAGGCTCGAGTAGGAGAGGGTCTCCAAGGTTTGGCGGTTGCAGCCGAAAGAATTTCTGCAGAGGTTATCAGTGAGCTTGGTTCATTTCATACTCAGCTTCATGGATCATATAGCTCGCTCGGTCGAGATTTCAAGTCAATATTTGAAGACCTTCTCAAGCACGTCAACGCGCAGAAGGCCGAGGCGAATGAACTGAGACAGCAACTTCACGCCGCTGGTGAAGCCGCCATAGAATCGAATACCGCCATTAATTCAAAACTTGATGAGGTAATTCAAGAAGAACGAAAACAAACCGCCGAGGATCGTCAGAACCTTCTTTCGCAAATCTCGACTTTGGTGATGGCCCAAGGTGAAGCTCAAGATGCACGTCTTGGCAATAAAATCGCAGCCGTTCGAACGGATATTCAATCTTCCAACGAGTCATTCGAAGCAACTCGAGTTCAATATAGTCAAGGCATGGATGCCTGGAATGAGAAAGAAGAACGACTCGTCGAGGAAGTCTTGAGATCTAGAGAGACTTTGAAGACCAAGCTGAAGGATGACTGGATGGCTGCTAATAAACATAACTCATCTCTTCAAGCAACAACTAGATCTGTACATGATGAGACCGTTCGTATTGTCGATGAACAAATGAAGGATATCAGCACTCAAATGCAAGCACTCGATGACTTTGTCACTCGTGCACGAGCGCAAAATGCGGAACATCACGATCTACATGCGCAATCGCTTCAAGGTCTATCAGCTACTGTAAAATCTTCTTATGACAACATCGGTACCCATTTTGCATCAACATACGGTCGCGTTAAAAACCTCGGTGATGAAATGGCCTCAAAAACAACAGCCTTGGCCGAGAACCTCGTTCTATTAGACGACAGCCTTCGCCAACCACTTGCGAACCTCCGCACCAACATTGCTGGAACGGCTATACAGGAGTACAAGCCAACAGGAGAGACTCCCCAGAAGGTTCAGTATCAATACCCAATGCATTTGCCTCGGACTGAAGCGCATGAAACACTCCTGGCAGCTCTTCGTCGGCCACAAGCCATGACATCACCGAGCAAAGTTGTTATCCCAGTGGTTTACAATGACTTTACGCCTTCTAGAGATGACGAGGTAGCTTTTGTTCCTTTCTCTGAACCAGAAAATAAGCCAACTGGACTTAGGGAGATCGACGTGAACATAAACGCCGGAACACTGAACTCGGAGATCCAAAGCCTAAGCCAAAGCCTGATGTCAAACGGTTCAGTCAAATCCATTGATTCCGATGGGTCCACCCCACCTCTCAAGAAACAAGCAACTGGCAAGATACTAAAGCCAAGATTATCGAAAAAGCCGAGTGTAGTTGCTTTAGAGGGAAGAGAAAACGCGATACCAGGATCTGAGGTGTTTGCACAGAGCACAGGAAGAAGACGAAGTCCAAGGACAGCAGGATAAGGGGAGAAAAGCCGGGGCACATAAGGAGTTGCAATATTAGATTCTCGTTTTAGCATTGTTCCGGTGTTATTGTTAAAGAAGGTTGGTTGCAGGTGAAAAGGATTGGGATAAAGGATCAACCAATGGTGTTATGGAGTTGAAGGATATCCAGCTATTTAAATATGCTGATGAAATGGATATTGAACATTTTCATGTGCTACCTACCTAGTACTGCTTGAGACCGATGATTCCATGCTACACCATTTGTGACTTATGTGAGGATACTCGTAAATGAAGCATTTAGCTAATTTAGCTAATGGTTAGTACGGGCATACTTGTACTCGAGTAGACCTGCTAGACTAGAGCTACCACACTATACAAACACAAGATGCACATGTAATTGACTACTCGATTACAGGATAAACTGTTATTTACAGTACAGTGGAGGTCGGTATGAAATGAAGCGGTTTGAGTAGAACGAATCAAATCTTTAAGGAGGGGGGTGAATCAAGGCCAATGTCACGAGGCGATAAGAGGAGGAGGCGATAAGGAAGAAGGCTGTAAACCTGGCAAGCTCGACACAAGACGAGTTCCCCTTCCTGTCTCGTCAAAACAGACTTAATAAAATCACCACTAGCACAATACCAAAGATAAGTTTTCTTTTTCAGCAACACAGATGTTGCCATGTACCCCAGCGAATTTGGTTGCTTCAACCTAATTAGTCCAACAACAATAACTCGACTTTCGTGGTAGCAATGTCAGCCTCTTCTACTACAGCCTCAAGTACATTATCGAGAAGCAGGGGAGCAATATTGGCTCTCACCAGTTGTGCCGCTGCATATGGAATATACTATGTCTACAGCACATATGTCGCTGGAACGGAAGTCAAAACCGCTGGCAACGGGCTACATCGAAGTAATGCGGTCCACCGACGGCGACGCACACAAACAAGCGATGAGCTTACAGCTACCGGCACTCAATTCCAACCGATCACACCAGGCGAAGACGAAGATGCGATTATCGTAGCTAGACCTTTGACAGATGGAGATACAGTGGTGGATGATGGCCCAGGATATGAAGATGGGCTCGACGTTCCAGGAAGGGCACCAACTGCAGAAAATGAACGGAACGGTCAAAATATTGTTCAGCTTCTCTTTCGTGTTTCGGAAGATGCCACAAGGCGAAATGCATACGTACATAGGGGGTGTGGCTGTAACGCTTGTGGAATAGTTCCCATTCGAGGAATCCGTTATAGATGTTCTAACTGTGCGGATTTTGATCTATGTGAATCATGCGAAGCACAGGGTGTACATACAAAGACGCATATATTCTACAAAGTGAGAATACCAGCACCATCCTTTGGACCAAGGCAAATACAACCTGTATGGTACTGTGGAGAGCCTGATAACATGGATCGGGTCAAGATATTGCCCAAGGAATTGATAGCGAAATATTCTCGCGAGACAGGCTTTGAGAGACCGGAATTGGAATCATACTTCGAGCAATGGAATTTTATGGCAAACACTCCTTGGCCAGAAGACCCTGATGATATTCGCCTAGCTATGGATAGAAGAACATTTGAACGGTGCTTGGTACCCAGTGGCGGTAACAGAATCAATAGCCCAACTCTCATATTCGATAGGATGTTCGCCTTCTACGATAGCAACAGAGACGATCTCATTTCTTTTTCGGAATTTCTCAAAGGTCAGGCATACCGCAAACAAAAGGATAAATGGCATGTAATATTTGCAGGTTACGACATCGACGACGATGGTTACGTTGACAGGAAAGACTTTTTACGAATGTTCCGCTCCTATTATGTTTTATATCGTCAAATGCATAGAGATATGTTGGAGAGTCTTGACGAACAGCAAATGATGAGCTCGGAAGCACATGCTCAGGTTCATAGTCGTGGCGCTCTTGGGCAATTGTTTGGTCAAGGACCAAGTCCATTAGTAGAATTGCGCGCTGGCGAGGGCAAAAGTGTCCGCGATGGAGAGCTGGAGATCCATGATGGAAGGGGCGTGTTGAGGCCAAGTGCTAACGACACTGGAAATCGAGATGATACTCTCATCAATTTTGGGTTGGTTTCAACTTCTGAAGGGCGATCCATTGAGAGAACACGAGGCTACTGGCGATTCTTGATGGAACCACCCGCTGCTGAAGGCATGTCTGAAATTATCGATGCAATCGTCCAAGAACGGCTAGCAGGGAGCTCTGGCGATTCAGATGAATCTGAAGCGATTCACCAAGCCAACTTCTTTGAGAACCCATTTCTAGACCATGCCGAGGTAGCGACCTTATCTTTTGAACGGCGTCGACGTGACTTGAATATCACCGATGAAGATGTCCAAGCAGTTTGTGGACCAGAATATACACTATCAAACATTCCGGAAAATGCTCGCCCCTTTGTTATAAAGCACACTTTGAAAAGACACAAAGCCCGAATTGCATTGCACGAGCGATGGAAGCGGAGACAATTTTATACTGACGAAGAAGAAGGAGCATCACCACCAGCTGATTGGAACGACGAGGAAGACATCCCTACAAATGGCCCTGGTGGAGATACCTCTAAGTCTCAGTTTCAGCAACGGCCGAGTATTCATTCTCGGTCGTCCTCCAAGGTACGATTTGCAGAAGACATGGATGACTTTGATACTCGCTCAAATCCTTCAACATCCTCGCGAAGCGTGCCTGAACGATGGGGTGGTATGGATATACCTGATGCAGAAAAGGATGTAGGAAAGGAAATCTTATACCAAGTCACACAACAAGCCTATAATGAACTTCTGGATCCATTGTTTCAGGCCAAAGAAGATTTGGCGGTGGCTGTCTTGGAATCAAGAGCGGAACGCGACAAACATCGACATCATTTCAGTGATAAGAATTTTGTGAAGTGGGCTACGGCAAGGAAAATTGAAGAAGAGATGCCAGACCCCAGCGAGATCGTTCATCCAATAGGTGGCGGTCTCATTGAGAGAACAGACATCCCTAATATTGATCTCGGTCCACGGCCCGATATTTTTAACGATCTCAATGCACGGACTGTGTGGCCTAATATCCCTGAGATAGAAGTTGAAGATGTACGCGAAAGGCAGCTAGATGAGCTCCTGGCAGCTACGGGTTACGAAGTCGAGGAGCCTGATAATGCCAATGCTCTACCCGACGTGGTAATTGTCTCTGACGTTGTGCTATCAACTTCCTCTCACGAATTTGATCTTGAAATGGCGGTACTCGAATTCAGACGGAGCCCCCATATTAGGGACAATCCTTTGAAGGCATGGAACACATATGTTAATGAACACAATATCACCCTCGATCACCAACGTGATCTTCTCAATGCTTTGCAACCCCTCTTACCACCACCTATATTCTTTTATATTGACGTACATCTTAAAGAGAAAGAAGAAGAGCGTGCTGAAGCTTTTCTTTTTACCAGCCTTCAATTGTCCGATTATAGAGATCCTACACTGCCTCAATTCAGACCCAATTCTGTTACTGACAATGTTCTTTTGGATAGACCAGTTGGAGAATATCAGGCAGACCCCGAATTATCGATTCCGAAAACTCCAGCTGCAAGCTCCCAGGTCGAGGAGGAAGAAAAATTGCCAAGTGACGAGGTACTATATAAGTTGTGGGAGATGGAAAATGCGGAGAAAGAGGGCAAGAACCGAGGTGGATTGGGAAAAATCACTTTCGAGGAGTTTGACCAGTGTGTTAAGAAGCTGACGGCAAATGGGAGGGCGAATTCGATGGACTATTTGGGAAGCTGGATTGAGTTCTGCATCCCTTAGGTCCTTCGTTGTATCCCTAGCCCTAACATTTCCTAGGAAACTTTTGTCCGAGGAATGGTGGATGATGGAAGAAGAGTTTGATGACGAAGTCAGCACAGAAGACGACTCCAGCATAGAAGATTGAAGGGGGAGGCTTATGATTGTGATAACGGAAGACAGGAAAATGGTGGCTTCTTATGATGGGAAGAGATAATGGCAATGAAGTAATGGATGAAGTAACGTACGAGTATAATCAAATCTCGATAGCAAGCAAAAAGAAATACCTAAATAGTCTAATTGGCCTTTGGCCGTGGATAGTCGTATGTAGTTGCGCTTTGCAAGTTCCCAGCACCTATGAAGCAATCAAATTAGGGGATGTTTCGTGTGTTTTTCCAAAATCACTTTCTCAAATACTTGTCAGTCGAGCGAGCTATTCAGTATTGTCCAAAAAGCTCCGCAATCATAGATATCAAAGAGTGCTACATGGAATAGTTTTGAAAACCCAGAAGATCCTTCACAGCTGAACATACAGTACAGGGTTACACATGGTCACCTTCAGAACAGATCTTTTCACCGTGACCGCATCGCCGACCCAAAATACTCATCATTTCTTTTCCCATTTCACACCTCCATAAAACAAAAACATGAACATATCAGACTTCCAAGCTTAGACTCAATAAGCCCACACAAAATGCGACTAATCAACACAAGCACCTTGGCATTCGAAGAATTCCACGGAGACTACGTGCCCAAATATGCAATCCTCTCCCACAGATGGGACAAAGACGAAATCACATTTCAGGAGTGGAATAGTGCAGTAAATAGAAAAAAGGCGGAGAAAAAATTGGGTTACAAGAAGATTGAGGCAACGTGTAGGTTGGCGCGGCAAAGGGGGTTGGGGTATGCGTGGATAGATACTAATTGTATTGATAAGAGTAGTAGTGCGGAGTTATCGGAGGCGATTAATTCGATGTGGAGGTGGTATGGGGGGGCGGTGGTTTGTTTTGCTTTTTTGGGTGATGTTGGGGTTGGGGATGAGGGGGTTGGAGAGGGAGAGGGAAAGATTGAGGGAGGGAAAGGGGGGAATAGAGATGGAGATAGAGATAGAGATCAGCTTGGGATTCTCTTAGATAAGGGGTTTCAGGAATCCTTTCGCAAGAGTAGATGGTTTACGAGGGGTTGGACATTACAGGAATTATTAGCTCCAAGTGCCGTGGTATTCTACTCGCGCGAATGGATTAGGCTGGGTGATAAATCTTCGACGCTCACGCAGCCAATTGGTGATGCGACGGGTATTGATACTTCGTATCTCCTAGGCTACAGCCCGATCAGCGCAGCAAGTGTTTCTCTAAGGATGTTCTGGCTCTCGCGGCGAAAGACCACGCGGGTAGAGGATATGGCGTATTGCATGTTGGGTATCTTCGATATCAATATGCCGTTACTGTACGGCGAGGGAACCAAAGCTTTTCTTCGCCTCCAGGAGGAAATCATCAAGGTCTCTGTCGATCATACGATATTCTGCTGGTCTTGGTCTGATTCTATCTCTCCGGCTTGGACAAATCTTATAGCGCCATCACCGGATGCATTCAAGAACTCGCAGGATTTCAGGAGAGCAAGTACAGTGGAACAAGCCTCTCCATATGCAATGACAAATGCAGGTCTCTCGATTCGTCTCCCCATTATCCAAGCATGGTCCTACAATTTCATCATCTTAATGGTGCATCATCGGCGTCGTGCCCAGCACTGGCGCGCATGTATCCCAGTCCGCAGTCTGCTACGACCATCTGTTTCTGATTTCCTCGGCACCTATCGACGGATCCCATATCCCGCAGATCCAATCTTCATGCCCATAACTTGGGCCTCGACCGAAATCAACATGTTTGTGAAATCGAAGATGATGTCGATGTTTCACCATACATCTCTCACTCCACGAAACACAAACTCGCAACGTCTTCCACGCGCGGTGCTAATTACCTTGGGCGAAGGTCTCCCTAGTCAAATCCCAGTCTTTATGTCAGAACAAGCTTCGATTGCAAAACTTAGACCGATGAAAATTAATAGTATATTCCTGTCCGAAACATATCCGCCCGAGCGCTTCGATGAAACTCGAAGTTTATTGAGACTCGATCATCGGGTTGGAGATGCATACGTGGCGCTGTTGGCATTGGGTGATAGAGAATCTGGATGTGTGGTGTTTGTAAGTTGTAAGATTGACTTGACACGAAGAACGAAGTGGTTTTGTCATATTCTGCCTTCGGCTTTTTGGGCGGATAGTGAAGTGAAGAGAGCTAAATTGTTGGCATTTTTGGGGAGTCAAGTAGCTGGTTTAAAAGGGGATAATGAGATCAGACTAGCGGTTTGTAAGGAGATTAGGGGATATATTGCTATTGACGGGGATGATGATGAGGATGAGGATGATATAGATGGGGAGTGTGAAAGGAGGATTGTGGCTGCAAGGTTGGAAATTGGGTTGAAGAAGGAGAAGATCGTGGAACTTTCGAAGAGGATTGTGAATACTTTGCACCTTTGACATCTCCAATTTTCTTGCATGGTTGGAAAAATGCTCCATATGATTAGCTTCCTTCCTTGTGCATCGAGAACGTCAAAGAGTATATTTCAAACTACATTCATCGCTACAGTACTTAGGAAAATGACGAAGGAATATCAAAACAGCATAACTTAATTTACCATCAAACGCTAATCGCAAAACTCCGAACCCATATACGCCTGCCTAGCTAATGTAAGACATCAAACATATCCCGAAAACCACAAACAAATAAACTGCAAATAATCACAATGACAAGTACCTGCCCTGCAAGATGTCCCTGACTTTTGTACGTGTAAACACTAGAATACTTATTGATTGTGCTGAGAGCCAATTCCGATAATCCCTATCTCTCCCTCCTTTCAGAAAATCTACAGCTAGACCTTCTACTAGAGCCGATTGTATGGTCGCTTCTAGGTGGTCTTGAATCTATAACCGTGCCAGGTGGTGATCCTGGATAATCCGATGGAGGTTGAGTGTGACCGCTGAATTGCTGAGAGAGATATGCGGAACTCGATGGTGGTGGTCCGTGTGGTTCTCTGCCAACGCGTTCAGGCCTTGCCGAAGCGTCCGATCTCATGGTTTTAGCGCCCGATTCGGAACCCTTGAACTCGGGGAAGATTTGGATGGTTCTAGGGGATTGACGGTGCTCTCGCTGCCAGCTTGTGAGTCTCTTCGCCCCCTAGGAGCAAGACTGGGAGTTCTGACGGATGAGGTCCCACCACCACCACCACCACCACCACCATCACCGTGAGAAACTGAGCCGCGACGAACTCTTCGTAAACCGGCTTTAAAATCGTCGGTGATTACTAGTGGCGTAACACTCCTATCACGAGCAGGCGCTACAGAGCGATGATCATCTCTTGACATATCAAGGGTACGATACTCGATAGGTGGTCGTGGGGGGCAGGCTGTAGATTGAGAAACCCCAGATTCACTTTCCTCGAATTGTGGATCAATTCTTCCACGGTTTGGGGTTGGACTGTTGGATGTATGCATGTGAGTTGAGCGATGGTGTATTTCAACATCTACGGTGGTTCCTCCATCACCTAATCTCACCGAGATTATTGTGGAACTGCGTTGTATCGTTGCTTGATATGTTGGGCCACTTGGCTGATTGTCGGGCATCCTGTTTTCGGGTCCCCTGCTACTTGCTCTCTCTCGGCGGGGTCTGTCCACGGGAGGTGGCATCACCACAGAACTCCTGGGTCTTGGGGCCTGCGACGATGCTCTGTCGTCATGTTTTATGCCCATCGTACGGTTCCCTGCCTCGATAGCGAACTTGCGAAGTTCCTGCTCCTTTTCTTCTCGCGTGACAGATCCTTGTTGTTTTTCTAACCTTTCACGAGCTTGTTCAACCGCCCGCTCCTGCTTAGCATCTAGATAGTCTTGTTCATCTGGATCGATCCCTCTGCGCCTGTCCGCTTTCGCCACTGCCATGCCCACTTCAGTTGCGCCTTGATGATATGTACTAATGCTCGCGGCCGTACCAACTTCGGATGCTGCTTGGTGTGGATCGGCAAATCCTTCTTTTCCAGGATTGAGAAGAGATAGCCCAGATCTAGAGAGGGGTGGCTTTCGAGAAGATGGTCTAACGGTAGCAGAACTCGCTGTAGAAGATTGTCCTGTGCGCTCTGAATAAACTGATCGTTGTGTTGCTGTCCTGGCAGAAGGCGTCACCGAGGGCTGTCTCGAGTGTCTTGATTCGGCAGTCGAATGAATTACGGAAGGTGCCTTTGGGTAATGCGATTGTCTTGCTGTCCCAGCGAGAGAAGGTTCACGTTCTCGGCGACTATCCCGACCCCTTTGTCTCCCACGTTCAACTCCATGTTCGTCATAGCGACTATCTCGACCCCTTTGTCTCCCACGTTCAACTCCATGTTCATCATAGCGACTCGGCGCATCGGAAGCATACTTGTTATCTCGTGACATGCTGCGTAGAGGGTATAAAGATCAGAGAACAATAGCTAACAAGACTCAGTGAAGAGAAGATATCTCAACCACACACACACTCTTCCTCAATAATATATCAATCCACGAATCTATAATTGGGTGCACGAAACTGTTAGAATGCAATAACCCGGTCACTCTGTCTTCACCACGATCAAACTTCGGTCAAGACCAGATCAAACCAGATTCGCTCGGTCGCTCCTAAAAAAAAACGAAAAACAGTCACTGCATTAATATAAAAGGTAAATGTTAGCAACCCATAGACCACACTCAATGGTATATGACCGGTTTTGTTTTTTCGAATACAACACTGTAGCGCCATAGCGGTAGGTAATATTAGGAGCCATTGAATATCAACTACAAACAACATATAGTAGAGGCCAATAGCCATATAGATCAGAAAAAAGAAAAAAGAAAACCATAGATAATATTAGGAGCTATTGAATATCGATTACAAACAACATATAGTAGAGGCCAATAGCCATATAGATCAGAAAAAAGAAAAAAGAAAACCATAGATAATATTAGGAGCTATTGAATATTGACTACAAACAACAAACAAAATATAGAAGACGCCGATAGCCAATAGCCATATAGATCACATTTTGTATTATGGAAATAAAAAATAAAAACTAAAAAATAAAAATTCACAATTGCTGTGTAGAATCTTATGCTAGGCAATGCAATGCGCCTTTCCGGTTCCACCAATTAATCAAGAGATGAGGCTAGGTAAGAAGTCAAATCGATGTATGGTTGGTATACTCGAGTATATTGCCATTAGGTCGGTTCATCCAGTCAGTGCATCATCTGAAAACCCAGTGACCCTGATCCTTTTTCAGGTAAAATTTGGCCCTAGCCAGATCAGATCTATCATTTCGACTTAGGCTCCAATGTTCTCTGGCTAGACCATCTAGGAATTTATTTGAATCGAGAATCGAAATTCACGTTAGTTGTATAGAATTTCCGAGTATAGTTTTTAGCCAATAGCATGTTACTCTTAGCGAAGAATACTTACATGGTTCACATACGTTAAAAGTATAACTGCTAGTGATGAGTGGGTATCTTTAATTACACGATGTACCAATATACAACCATCTCTTATACAACAGTAACATCACATCTCCCACAAAGCTCATCTTCTACCGGAGCTACATACCTCCAACACCTTGGACATTTCTCATCCTTGGGAGGTAAAACCCATACCTTTCCTTCCCCATTCTGTTCATGCGACCCGGGTGGAGATAACAGCGCAGAGAATTTCCAGTCTCCTCTATTAACATCACCACCAATCTCCACAGACGATACAATAAATATGCTGTCTAGTTCATCTGCATATCGTTTGAATACTTCCTGGCTTTGGATAGGTAGATCTAGCAACACGGATGATTCTAAAGATGACCCGATGGTTTTTTGAGAGCGAGCTTCTTCTTGAGCTGTCTTGATGGCAGTATGGGCACTTAATAACCAGGGAATATCTTGCTCGATAGATGAAATTTCTTCCACAGAGAGTCGACTTGGAGAGATGATGGGATCATGGAACTCTCTATGGAATGGATGAACTTGACTTTCGGCAGCCATCCAGGCAGGTAAATGATTCCAGACCTCTTCAACCAGACAAGGAGTGATTGGAGTTAACATTTTAAGGAGACCATGGAATATTTCTTCTAGGATACCTCCTCCATCACCGCAATAAAGCCTGTCCTTACTGGCTTCCAAATAGAAAGCGGAGAGATCTGTTTGGATCCATCGATTAATTGCGCCCACAGCCTTATGGAACTCATAAGCATCATAAGCCGACTCGACTTCAGCCATAACTGCTCTCAACTGGACCAAAGCAATTTTATCCAATTTAGTCACCGGTGAAGTCCTGGCATTTTCGTGCATTGATCCCAGTAACATCTTAAATGTGAGACGATACTTTAGTAATGAGGAATTCACAGATGCAAGAACCGGTTGGCCAATGACAATATCCTTGGTATAGTCACTGCTGGCGACCCATAGGCGCAATGCATCGGCTCCAAGTCCTTGAGAAACATTTCCGCCCTTTTTCTTCATTTTTAAAGGTGGAAGAAGCGAACCATCCATGATCTGACTTGGTGCTATTGTGTTTCCAATTGATTTAGACATTTTTCGTCCATTTTGATCAAGTGTGAACCCATGCGTGATCAACGTCTTGAAAGGTGCTTCCGAACTATCGGCAACGGCGGTGTGAGTCAACAAACTTGATTGAAACCAGCCTCTATGTTGATCGGTGCCTTCGGAGTAGACATCAGCACGTTGCTCGGTTTGCGTCCAACTGGTGCCGCTGTCAAACCATACATCCATAGTATCTTTGCCTCGTCGGTATGTACCTTCTATCCCAGCTGGGATCCATGCGGGGTCATTTTCTGTATCTGACCACCATGCATCGATTCCTCGTTCGTCAATAACAGAGAGAATGTGCGCAACACTGGTATCGGTCAACAAGGCTGTACCACTTTCGTCATACAAAGCAGGTATGGGAACACCCCAAGCTCTTTGTCTCGAGATACACCATTCACTCCTAGACTTGATAAAACTTTCAAGTCTCTGCTTTCCCGTTGGAGGAATGAATGCCACGTCGTTCAATCTTTCCAGGGCAAGACTTTTGACATCTCCAACATTTGCAAACCATTGTTCTGTGGCTCTGACAATGACAGGAAGCTTGGTTCGCCAATCATATGGATATTTATGCTTATACTTGGAAATGAATAGAACTTGATCTCTAAAGATCTTCAAAACCTCCATATTTCCATCAGACAGTACAGACTTACCTGACAGAGCACTTGGATCGTCAGGAAGAGCAGCATCGGTAAAGCAACCAAGATCATCCACAGGGGCAACAGCTGCTATACCAAGGCGAGTGCAAACCTCATAATCATCCATACCGTGACCAGGAGCGCAGTGAACCAGTCCAGTACCGGATTCAGCCGAAACGAAATCTGCATGAATTAAAGGTTGGAACCCAGAGTTTCGGCCGCAAAGTTGATTGGTATAAGTCAAGTTTTTGAGAACAGAGCCAGAGACATTTTGTAGAACCACCTCGACGGCCTTGTCTTTGAAGCATGAGTCTTGAAGCGCAGAGAATCTAGAGTCCGCGATAATGAGATAATCATCATCATATTTGACGATAGAATAAGTTAGATCTTGATGGAACGCGATGGCTCTATTTGCAGGTAGGGTCCAAGGCGTAGTAGTCCAAATTAAGGCCGAAAGTTTGTTCAGATTGGGAATGGAGTCCTTCAATTTTTGGGGAATATTGGCGATAGGAAACTTAATATATGCAGATGTAGAAATGTGTTCGTTATTGTACTCAAGCTCCGCTTCTGCAAGAGCTGTTCTCGATGAAGGTGACCAATAAACCGGCTTGTAACGTCGAAAAATAAGACCTTTCTTGACCATTTCCTGGAAAACTGCTAGTTGCTTGGTTTCGAATGTCTTATCCATTGTCTTCCAAGCCTTTTCCCAATCTGCCATAACACCCCATTCTCGGAAGCCTTTCATTTGTTCCTTTACGGTTTTACTTGCTAGATTTCGAGCAGCTCTTCGGATTCCAATAGCATCCAGAACTCCTCCGACATCCTTATTCTTCTCGCGCTGTTGCTCAAGAGCCTTTATCTCGATAGGAAGGCCATGACAATCCCATCCTGGAACCCAAACAACTTGATGGCCTTGTTGAACCTTGGTTCGACAAATGATATCTTTTAGAAGTTTGTTCACAGCATGACCGACATGAAGAGGGCCATTGGCGTATGGAGGACCATCATGAAGAATAAATGGCTTCTTGGCAGATCTTTCACGGCTTTGCCATTTGTAAAGATCACCAGAGGATCGTTGAAGATATTTTGGTTGCTCTGCGGGGAGAGGTCGAGGACTGGTGATGTTGGAGTCAATTGATGGGTTCGCGAAATTATCAACAATTGACAAACCAAACCAAAGATTTGCTTACGGAAAAGAAGATTTAGGTAGTCTTAAAGTCGAAGACCATGATTTGACAGGAGGGCGAATTGACATCTTCTCTTGTCCATGACCTCTTTCCCCTAGAATTTATGAATTGGGCGACGGGAAGTTTGAAAGTTGGAGATTAAAAGTTGAAGATGCGGTTCAAGTTATTCTATAAAATTATTCAGGCCTAAGATACAAGGTTTTAGAAATTATCACCACCACCAGCAACGAGCTTCCATCAAATTCAGACTTCTACTCCATTACTATTGATTTTTTAAAATTTTCTGTTTTATTCATCTGACTCCTACTATGAGTAGTTAAAACATTTATTATATGTGTTTATTCTCAGGCTTCATCACTTCTAGAGTCAGCTTTCCGTGACTTGAAAATTCTGTGAACCGGCTTTTGCTATCTATACGTAGCTATCGGATCGTATTTTACATTATGGTACATGGAAGTGGAAGTGGAAGAGAAGATGCCATCGTAACCCTATGGTTTCTTCCTGTTTCCGAGTGAACCTTGAAAAGTATCCCATCAAGCAGAGTCTATGAACTCAATCAGAATTGAAGAAAGTTCTTCTATAATTCCAGCTGCACATGGGATTCTACTAGATTTTCAAGTAGTAGCGGAGTGATGGAGTTGCATTACAGTAGAAACTTGGACCCAAGACGAAGAAAGGTGATACTGTACCTACGGTGATTATCATCATCGATATGGTATTTCCTTCTCAGGCTTTCTCAGGATCATCTGGCATCAAGCTTTTGGCGTATAGCATGCTTTAGCTCCCACAGAGAATCTAGGCTTTTGATCAAACAATACCACGTATATTTCCCCCAACAACTAATTTACGAACTCTAGGAAAGAACAAAGAAACAAATAGATGAAATCATCGAGCTCGCAAAGAGCATTACCAAGTCACAGATTCTCTACACAGCCACAACCTACTATCACTGGCCGACAAAACAAACGGGAAAGCTCAAACTCAGCTTGCTCTCGAGGCTAATGATCGAGTCGTCAGATCTTATTGACGCTGAACTCGCTCGTATAAATTCATATCAAATGTTCCCTTTCGAACGAGAGTGTGACGATGACAATATAAGCTTCTGCCAAAGATTTCCACCCCCAGGAGCAAAAGTGGTCCTTTAAGGTTAATTCTTTTGTTGATTGGCAAGGAGGCAGTGCGCGGCTTGTGTACTTTATATCTATAGGATGAATGAAAGCATTGAACTTACAGTACACAAAGACTGTGGCTATATACAATTGCTTTACTCGAGTATTATTTGATATTGTATTGCATGCAATTCGCGTCCAGCTGAAGTGTGTTCGGAAAAGGGGAATGTCAGACCTAAGAAGTAGTCATTAGATATGATTGGATATTATAAAGCCATACATTTTTCTTCAGAAACGGAAAGCCACTTAGCAAGCCTCAATCTTGGCTATAACTTGGCTAACGGACCCTTTCTTTGGTTCCCGTTTTATGAAGCGCCTCAAAGTTCTGGAACACTGCATCATTCATAATGGCTGGGTAAGGAGTAAGGAGGAAGGAGAATAAAGACTCGTAGGTATATCTAACATTGATTTCATCTCAATCGAATTTATGTGTAAATTCGTTGATCCTTTCGCCCACGCTGTATATATACAACCGATTACCGATGAGAAACTATATGGCGCGGTTCAATCAAACAACAATACAGATCCTTCATCTTCTTCAAAATCTAAGTTTTTTGTTATTACTTTGGGATTAATAAGACATAGTACCGGGACTAAATACTTGTACCAGTCTTAAGTCTCCCGAAGATCTTCAGCTTTCCCTCTTCCCTTCCCCCCTCGCACCAGAACGAACAAGGACCTTCCTTCGTCAAATTAACCTTGATCTAAAGAAACAAAGCTATAGAAAGGATAGCGCTTTCGTGTCAACCGGGCTTTCCTTAATGATCCAATCGCGATAGAGAATACTTATTCTCTAGATAGGATAGGGAAATCACTTGTACATTAACATCCGCGCACCAATACACGGATACTCTTTTACTGCACCTCGCCACCGATTCACTCGAATTCCAACCTCAGCTTTCTTTCTTTCTTTCTTTCTTTCTTTCTTTCTTTCTTTCTTTCTTTCTTTCTTCCTTTTCTTGTCCGCGACGCTGCAATCTCTTGACCATCAATTCCCCTCCTCCTCCTTCTCTTTCTTTCCCGTCTCCTCCGCGACGCTGCAATTCCTCTACCATCGATTCCCCTCCTACTCCTTCTCCTCATCCGACATCTCGCTCTATCACCCTCATACAACAAACCACAACCATGGCACGATTTACAATCTCAACTTTACTCTTGAGCTCTTCGCTTTTGAGCTTTGCAGATGCAAACACCATTCAAATGGGAATCGTCAAAAATAGTGCGAATGAAGCAGCACAATTACAAAAGCGCCAACAATACCTTCAGCGTCGGGGTATGGGAGAAGCAGTACGAGTTGAAGAAAGAGCAGATACACTTACAGCCAATTTGGGAAACGCCGTAACAAGTGGCCTATATTATGCAAACGTCACAGTGGGAACACCGGCACAGCAATTGAGTTTACAGATCGATACGGGTAGTTCTGATATTTGGGTACCGAGTTCAAGTGCTAGTATCTGTGATGATACTAGAGATGGAGGATGTCCGGGTGGGAGTTGTATGTATTTATATAATCTCTAAGCAAGGTTATGGGGCAGAAATGCTAACACAATCTAGTTGATTCCTCTAGCTCCAAAACGTTTCTTGATGTAGAGCAAGGCGCCTTTAATATTTCATATGTAGATGGCACTGGATCATCCGGAGATTATTTCCAAGATACCTTCTCCATTGGAGGAGGAACAGTCAAAAGCTTCACAATGGGTTTGGCTTTAGATACTTCCATCTCAATTGGAATTATGGGTATTGGATACAATAGTTCGGAAGCAAACATTCAGACTGGGAATGGCACCACGTACCCGAATTTACCGAATGCTCTTGTTTCTGCAGGGTTAATCAAAACTAATGCTTATAGTTTGTGGTTGGATGATTTACGTAAGTTTCCTCTGTTCTTGGGATGAATCTGGGAACGAAGCTAACTTCCAAATAGAAGCAAGTACCGGCTCGATACTATTCGGCGGTATTGATACATCAAAATATACTGGCGACTTAGTCTCAGTCAATGTCTATCCAAGCTCTCGCGGTGGATCTGTAACATCCTTCACTGTCGCTTGGACTTCCCTCGCCGTCCAATCCTCATCTGGAACTGACCAATTGACTCCGGCCAATTTCGCTCAACCAGCCATCCTCGATTCTGGAACCACCATCACCCTTCTCCCCGATGAAATAGCCGCTGTCGTCTTTGAAGAACTCGGAGCAACAGTCTCACAGCAGCTTGGTGCGGTAGTTGTTCCTTGTGCTCTTTCTACCAAGTCGGGAAGCATAAATTACGGATTCGGAGGAGTGGATGGACCTACCATTAAGGTCGATGTGTCACAACTCGTGTTACCTCTCACTACAAGTGATGGACGTACACCAACTTATAGCAATGGTGCCCCAGCGTGTCAACTCGGTATTCAAGCCGCCGGTTCAAACCCTACTCTTTTTGGGGATACATTCCTAAGATCAGCATACGCTGTCTACGACCTCGAAAATAATCGAATTGGACTCGCGCAAACCGATTTTAACGCCACAGGGTCCAATATTGTACCTTTTGCAAGCGCGGGTGCAGCGATTCCAAGTGCATCAAGTGCACCAAATGAAGCGGCTGTTACACAAACAGCTTCTGGAAACCCAAGAATTGGTGTAACAGCGACAGCGACTGGAACTGGTCAAGCAACTTACGATCCTACTGCCACCGGATTGAATGCCGAGAATGGTTTCACATCAACGGCCTCATCAACTAGCTCTTCGAAGAAATCTGCAGGAGCAGTAGGTCCCGCACCGTTTGAATGGACTAGAGTTTTCGTTGGTAGTTTCACTATGATAATGGCTGGTGTTGGTGGTGGTATCTTTGCTCTTTTGATATAGATTAACGAAGATTTTGATCATAGCACAAGCAGTGGAGGAAATACATAGACGAAATACATTGTACATTATGGACTTAGATATTCCAGTGTATCTTTATGACACGACACGAAAGGGTCATCATCATATTTGGCGTCAAGAGTTTTGTTTTAATTTTAGCGACGGCATCGATGGATGGATGGCTGGATGGATAGATATGTATGCGCGGAATGTTCATATTGGGGATAGAAAGGGATATTTAGTTTAATGACAATCCGAATATGGAATATAGAAATATATATACCTTCTTAGCCGATATAAAGTGATGTGAAGTCTGTATGTAGATAACTTGAGTCAGATAACTTGAGATATCTCCCACTTTGATAGGACATGAAGCAAAGAATATAGATATACATATAAGTATGCACATCTCCCAATCTAGGAATCCGACGGTACCATCTAATCAATGGGGCCCCTATAGGTGTGGGATCACGATTATGTATGTGATATAGGTACTTTTAGGTTTAATGCAATTTATGTTAAACCTAAAAGCGCCTATAACAAACAATTTCTAGAGTGAATATCCTGAAGATATACTCTGAAATATGTGAAATAATCGATAATTTAATCAATACACCGATACTCTGTGAACGCAGAGAACATGGCATGGAGTCTAGAACTTCGTAACTACTTAATCACGTGCTGATAAGACAACGCCGTTATCAGTCAATCACCCGGAGCTCAAGCTCCAACTTCTTCATAGTTCCTACCACAGATCTTGTACACCGAGAATCCCCGCGATCACATTGCACGACATATACATATGCATATCCATACCAATACAAGTTGCTAGCTAGAAAGTACTCCATCACCGCACCCTCACCCGACATCCGCCTCCTCGTCATCTCTCCCAACAAAATCGCGTACCCGTTCGTAACCACAAACAAAATAAACGGGAAAGTCAAGCATACATATACATACGAGTACATACATACGAGTACATACATCAATCATGTCGACAAATAACCCTGATCCTGATCCTGATTCTGATCCTCTTCGTCCCCCTTCTTCTGGGCAACCTACAGATGTTACGCTGAGTGTATCTACTGCTCCTCGGAATATACCTGCGTCGTCGCAGAATCATCAGTACTTGTCGAATTCTCCGCTGGAATTTAGATGTTCTGTTTCCCCTTTGGATTCTCGGCGTCCTTCTCATGATCGATATTCTACATCCCCTTTGGATGCTCGATGTCCTTCTCATGACCAACGCCTATCTGCCTCACCAACTGCTGAAGAACTATATATACACGGTGAACCTTTCCCAGAGCTATCCGGCTATCCTGTCAATGTCGCAGATCCATCAATCCATATACAACAACCATCCAACGAACAAGACGAGCTTTCGGAGATGGCTCCATCGCAACCTACCTCATTCGCGCCGTTTTTTACTCTCATAACGGATTCCACGGTACTCATTGATGATAAAGATGGAAATCCACAGACGCCTACAACGCATCATCCGAGCAGAATACATTACATATTTTCCGATGACGAGGATAGTGAAGTGTTAAAAGATGCCTGTTTGAGATGCATACCTGATGCTTCGAGTATATCGAATAGTAATTCTTTTACAAACAAAGCTTCCGAGGAATTACGAGCTTCAAACTCGAGTTCAAGACCAGGATCATTGAAGAGGAAAGAAAGTGGCAAGGATGGCAAGGAGAACCAAAGGGAGGAAAGGGTCATTCTGATAGATATGAATGAAACTGGGGATAGAGTGGTTAGGGCACAAAGTCTAAGTGATAAATGGCAGATTATGGGGTGTGAGATTGGGAAAGCTCCTATCTGGGAGGGTGAAGGGAATGAGGAGAAAGGGGGTGGATTGATGTTGAGGATTGAGGGGGTTATGATACCGATTCTAAAAGAGGATACGAATTTGAGTGGGAGTAGGGAGAAGGGTAAAGGAAAGGAAAATGATGATGGTAATGAAGAGATCGAGGAACTGGATATGGAAAAGTTACTCGAAGGATTCGATAAGAAGATGAATGTACTGCGCAAAGTTATCGGAGGAGTAGGATGGGACCATGGTCATGATGGGGGTGGTCATGCTGTGAGTAATATGGATGGAGAAGGAGAGGGAGATGGAGAGGGAGAGGAATATATACCAATACAGGAGTCAGGAGTAGAAGATATGCAGAGAGATCGAGAGAAAGACGGAGAGGCATTTGAAGCTTCATAATTATTATTACTAGGAACATGAGTGTAATGACGGAACGGACCGGTATGTGTAAATTTGGCAGGCAGGCAGCCAGGTGGGGAAACGGACCAGAATTAGGAATTGGGAATGGGATTGGGATGGGGATGGGGACTGTATATGTATACATATCATAGCATGGCATGGCACGGCAAGGCAAGGCATTAATTAGCGCATTATCAATAAATAAATACATCATAATGGACATACATCATAACAGACAAACAGACATACAGACATAGCGTTAAATCAAGACTCCATCAGAAGTTCGAGGGGATTACATAAGGTATTGGTATAAAGGGAGCCGGAGGGGAGGGAGTGAGTGAAATGAGAATGAAAGGAGAGGAGAGGGGAGGGCGAGGGAAGGGAGGGAAGGGAGGGAATAGGTGGAGGGGGTATATGTTTAATGGGCTTGTGGTTGTGCTGTTTGTGGTGGTAGTGGTGGTGGTAGGTAAGAGTGGGTAAGAGTTGGTATGAGTATGTTGTTTGTATATAGACAGTGAGAGAGAGAGAGAGAAGTGGTGATTTTATATGTTTATGTTGATCTGATTTGCTTTGGTATGGTTGGTTATATTTGGTATGGTATGGTTTGCTTGATATGGTATGGTTGTGAGGAGTGAGGAGTGAGTGAGTAATCACTGATTAGCTAATGTTCAATGTTTAAAGCTCATACTCGATCGAATAACTCGATTGATCGGGTGTTCTGATTTTAATTTGATGGTGAGGGTGACGGTGACGGTGACGGTGAGGGAAAGGGATAGGGTATGGGGAAGGGGATGGGAAGTGGGTGGTATGATTATATATGAATGAATATGGGTTTGAATATGAAAGTGGGATGGGAATCATGGGATGGTATACTTGGTGCGGGATAATTGGTGCGAGGTGTATAAGTGGGAAAATGATGTGAAATGCAATGAAGGATGGAGAATGGAGGGCTGAGATGAGAATAGAGGATGAGGGATGAGGGATGGAGAGTAGAGAATGAAGAATTGACTAGAAAACGGAGAATGGAAAAGGAAATGGAAGTTGAAGGGGAGATGAAGGGGAGATGGGTCATGATGTATTGAGGTTGATGAGTTAATGAGGTTGTGGTGGGATGGTGGGATAGAGTGATGGAGTGATGGAGTGAAGGAGTGAAGATATGGGAGTGATGAAGTGAAGGGATAGGATGAGATGAGAGGAATAAGTGAACTGAATGTGATGAATAAAGCAAATGAATGATATATATTATAATCCGACGTTAGCGAATGAATAGCTAAGTAAATAATGAATCAAAATAAGCGAACAAGAGACTGTATAAGTGAAGTACTAGTAGTAGACGATATACTCGAGTAAATGTTAGGGGTTAGCGAGCAAGGTAAGTGAATGATTTAACTGGAACTGGAAATGGGAAAGGGAAAGTACAGTGAATGGGGTTTGCTAATGAATGATAATAAGTGGGAGTTGATGATAGTATAGTATAGAGTTATAGTATAGAGTAATAAGATGAGATTATAAAGACAATAGGATAAGCAAATGAACATTCAAGAATATAGGAATATGTGGATGAGATGAGAAGAGAATTTTAGACGAGATGAAGATAATATACAATCCGAGAATGGCGAGTAAACGATCAAGTAAAGTGAATCAGTATAAACGATAAAGATATAACAAAACATACCGAAGCAACGAGAGTACTATATCATGAACAATGTAACAGTATAAGTAAAGTAGACGATATAAACATGAATATAAACATTAACGATTAGCTAGTAGCGAGTGAGTGAATAACCAACTTGAAGATGGAAACAGGCGAGGAAAGTATTTGAGTGAAGCGAATACATGGGGGTAAATACTCGAGAGGTAGAGATAGGGATAATCATGAGATGGAGATGGAGATGAGAGTCAAAGAGAAAATATAAATTACATACTCAGTAGAAAGGGATAACCCACAAGATGCAAGAGTGTAAGCGAGAGAAATAGGCAGTGCTAGTCAGTATGGGTGTGGGTGTGAGTGTGAGTAGAGTAGAGAGAGAAACTGGAATGAAACTTGGGTGTAAGAAGATGAGAGTACAGGATAAACGTTGGAGAGTAGTGTAGACGAAGGAGTAGGATGTAGTGTTGTAGTGCACAAACATCAAAGCAATATATGCAAACAAAGCTCATTACAAAAAGCCACCATGTATTAAATCCACACTACAATATTCTATATATCCATCAAACTCTCTCCTCAAAACTAAAAGCTACAGAAACAAGAACTCCCACCCCCTATGTCAAACGAAGCGAATGAATGCAACATGAGTTACTACTAGAGAAAGTATGGTATAATTTTCCCTCCCATAAAAGACCTTTATTCTTACACAAAGAAATAATTTGTATCAAGGCACCTCTCATAGTGCTTGTGATCGAAAAAACTTCGTCCCCTTTCCTTCTCTTCTCCCATTCAGTTCTTGAACTGAGAATATCATCATATACGCCCAAATCGTATGCACAACTCATTTGGTATAAGTTCAATACAACATGCTTGCTCGCAGAAAGACAAAAGAAACTGGGCCTGCCATCTATACAAACATCATTTCACCCCCCTCTTCAATTCAATTAAGTTCATGCGACGAATTTCTTCCACTTTCTAACCACAGGCGTAAAGTCGACATCTGGAACAACTGCCTTATCTTCACTCCACTGTTTGCCTGGAACCATTATCTTCGATTCTAAGAAGCTCACACCTGGTACAACCAATCTATCTGATGTAGCAAAATCTGTGCCTGGTACAATTGGTGCTGACACAATCGTAGGGATGGATCTTTTGGCAGCTTTATTATCGTTATTGTCCTTGTTCTTGTTGTTATTGGTGAAGTATACAGCCAAGGCAATGGCGATAATGGCGACGATGATGACTGTGGGATTTCGCGTTAGTAAATGTAAGATGGAAGTAAGGGGAGGATTGAGTGAATGCAAAGGGGGACATACCACAAACTGCTAAGCAATACCACTTCTTTCTATTTCTCGATTTCGCACTGACAATTGCTGTATCAATTTGTTGAACTCCCTTATCCATATTATCCACAACTTCTTCTCCCTTCATTTCGATGTTGACCACGGCAGCTTCTTGTTGCACAACCAAGTTCTCCATCTCCGAGAACAGTTCTGCAATTTGAATAATATCTTGTTCAATCTTCTTGATGGCTTCGTTTCGGTCTCTGACAGCATTCAAAGTTGTATTTACCTGTCCCTGTCTGTTGCTTGTCATCAAGGCCTGTTGGAACATTTGCTGGGGCTCCGAGTCCGGTACAGCGGTAGCAATCTCTTCGTCGGTAGCGTCTGCGTTGACAATGCGGTATTCTCGTCTCATTTGGTCTCGGACGGCGTTATTGATCTGTTGCTCCTTTGCGTTGAATTCCTCCATTGTCTTCTTGAGTTTACGTTGCACTCTGCCAATTTGCTTTGTATTCATGTCACTGCCAGAATCGGGCATGAGTTTGGTTTTTCGAAGCTCTTCAATCAAATCTCGGTGCTGCGACATGGTTTGGAAGGAGATATCCTTGAGATCGATAGTGATACCACCTTGATCAACTTCTCCATTGATTCGACCACGAAGTGCCTCCAAAGCGCCAATGCCTCTCGCAGTTTTGTCGATTTCCATGTCGATTTGGCGACATCTATTAAGGATAGCATTTGGGTCATATTGTTCTCCAGGCTGACTTCCATTCTGTGCTAAGGATGCCATCTCAACATTTTGTCCTGATTTGATGTTAGTGGGCTGATCGAGTTAAGACGAGAGATGTGTGCTTAGGTATTCCTACCGCCATAAGAATCTCGTCCAATCGCTGGTCCATTATCGTATTGGGGTGATTGAGGGTAACCTGGTGATGCTTGTGGAGCATACGGGTTGTTACCACTGCCATAATTTCTATTTAAACCTGGTTAGCAACAGGGTCGGCAATTCAGTTGAAAAGTTCGCATCTTTGCAGGTTAAAGGGTGAATATGTTTGTTTGTCGGCGCTCGTGAGGAAGGTGAATTGAGGATGATGAACAACTAACCCGTACTGTGCCATAATTGTCAGTAAATTGCTTCCAGAGTAATTTTGATGATTTTGAATTGCTTCCAAGACCCTTCAAATTGAGATGTATATATGAAAACAAGAGATGGCAGACAGGAAGATCTCTTGTCGTGACATTGAAACCCCTTCAGAATACAAAAGTGAAACTATGGACTTACACTCATTTTTACAACACGCTTCGACCCCTAAACACGATCCAGCTTCAGGTTAGACGAAAAAGACCTTATCTCTGGTGCAACTTCTTGTTTCGTAATTTTGAAGATCGTGGGGAAAGAAACCTTTTGATAGTTTCGTTTTATATACAGTATTAGAGCAATAGGTAAAATAATTCGTTCTTTTTGGTCAAATGAAGATTACAATTAAGTCAAGAAATAAAAAAATAAAATAAAAGCCGTTTTGTTTGAACTTTGAAGGAGAATAGAATGATTTCTTTTGCTGGGCTGATCTCTACTACACCAAAAACTTACTTGGAATTAGGTTTAGATGACTAGAACTCAAAGTTGATTAGCTTAGGATTATCCCTCATGTTAAAACATCCTAAACCAAAAGTTTAGCCACATTATGGATCAATCTGGGCCACTTGATAGGTCAAGGTCTCCCTATCAAATAAATAGAACCTTGTCAATATTTGAGTATTTGACTAGGTACTGACTATTATTAGATTGCATAAACCTTACGCCTAACAACATACACTTTGTACATGTACTGAAGAAAGGAGGCTTTGGAGGCTTTGCCATAGAGCTTAGCTATACAAGCCGATGAATAACGACAATGATCATTTTGCAGTAATTGACGAATTCTATTTGCCGTAGTTTAGGTCGATTCATGCATAACCAATTCGTTGCAGAAAGCTCACAATCCCAATACCATCCGCGTTTCATATAGGTCAAACATAATGTCATCGCCTTTAAGTAAAAGCTGGCTGCATGATTAATGCATATTCAAGAATCTGTTTCAACTTTTAAGGAAACCATTGCTATTTGATAGTCAATTGGCCTAAATGCACATGATACCAAACAAGCTCAGAGTGTGAATTTTTGGGTTGGCAAATGATTTGGCACCCAATGTTATGTCTGTGCTGTGAATTCTGTGAAAAACACAATAAACAAAACATTGCACATCTCCCTACAACTAGATCCAATTATCGAGAACCATGTTCTTTATTACACTCAAGTAATTCCGAAATACTCGAGTACATAATTATGGTTATTGTTGCGCCTCGGAAGTCATCTTGTTGGAAGCGGTAACCTAATACCGCCACCTCGTTCGATGAGTAAATTTATTATGATCTCCTTATCCGCCGAATTACCCACAACATGCTCAGCGGCCTCCAGAGCACTGCCCCAGAAGCCTCCCTCCGCATCTGTTGCACCTAGGTCAAGTAAGGTTTTAACTATTCCTACTGCTCCTTGACATGCAGCAGTCTGGAGAGCAGTGCCGAACTTGCCTCCTGTCAGACAAGGATCTGCTCCTCGACCCAATAAGTATCTAAAAGCCTCCTCTCCGCCAATTATGGCGGCCTGAAGTGCATTGCCAAATCCTCCACCGTTCTTGTTGATGTCAGCTCCATGATCCAAACATATCGCTATAGTTTCCAAATTCCCTTCTTTTGCTGCGGCTTGTAAAACATTGTCGTATCGTCCTCCACAAGCATTGATATCTGCTCCGTGATTGAGTATAAGCTCGAAAATTGCTTTGGATCTTACTGCTGAGTGGAGAGCGATTCGGTCTTCCCCTTGACTACTAACATCGGCTCCAGCATCGAGAAGAATTTTGACGATATCAATAAAACCTCCCCCGGCAGCTGCCTCCAATGGAGTGTACATTCCGGGTGATGGATTTGAATATATCTTGGCTCCGGCTCGAAGGAGAAGCTGCACGGTTGACTCGTGTCCATGATAACAAGCATTTGTGAGAGCACTTCCATAAAGCCCATCCGAGGAATTGATTGAAGCACCAGAATCGATAAACAGCTGCACGAGTTCGTCATGACCATTCGCGGCAGCTGCCTGAAGCACCCCTCCTACTGCTCCACCCCCAATATTTACATCTGCTCCCTTTTTCAGTAATAAATGAACGATTTCTAACATGTGAGGTTTAAGCGGGCGCCCGTGTCTGCTAACAGCGGCCTGCAAAGCAGATCCATCCTGCCCTCCTTGGACATTGACATCGGCGCCTTTGGAAACGAGGTAGCGTATGAAGTCGATGTTTGGATGAAGATGCTGAGCATTCACCGCACTTTGAAGCGGATTGCCGTACCGCCCCCCAGAAAGGTTAATTGAAATTCCCATTTCTAAGAATAACCTATCCTTCGTTAGTGCCCGTGGCCATATGATGATTCGTGGAAATGCTCACTCAACAAGTTTGTAGCTACCCTTATGAGCTGCCGCTGAAAGTGGATTACCAAATAGAGAGTTCTCATGTTCCTGAAAAGTGGCACCGTATTCCAATAAAAGTTTGACGATTTCAATCCTGCCCTCGCTCGCTGCAGTCTGGAGAGCATCTCCCTTAATTCTGTTTGGTGCATTGACTGCTGCGCCAGCTCTCAACAAAAACCGAACCATATCTTTCATTCCAGCTCTAGCGGCTGCCTGCAACGCATTAGCACCTACAGAGTCTCCATCAATGTCGGCGCCCTTTTTGAGTAAAAGTGACACGACCTTCTCATGTCCCTTTCTAGCGGCTAACTCTAGAGGCATGTTGCGATTATCATCCGATTGACTTATAGAAGCATCAGCACCAGCATCTATAAGTAGTTGGACCAATTCGACATGTCCATTGGAAGCAGCATAGTGCATCGCCGTCGTATTGCATGAGTTAGAAGCCATCGCGGAAACGCCTCTCCCGAGAAGAATTCTAGTAGGCCCCTGGAGATTGGCGGCAGCGAATATATGTAATAGTTTCACTTCGTCCGGGGCGTCGTATCCGAAATAATTTGATTCGGGTGGTGCATGAGAAAAGTTCAGCCAGATTTTCAGCAAACCGTAAGTCTCGATATCCTGTAAAATGCCATCTTGTGGGATCCTCCGCCTCTCAGCCAGTTCTGCATGTTTCAACCACGACTCATGAGCGTAAACACCGAAAGCGTATCTCTCGTATTGATCGTCCAGCTCACTAGGGGTTAACTCTTCACACTTTATTTGCCGAGAAAGTTCTCCGGATCTAAAGTAATTTGTGCAAGTCCTTGCCAATATATCCTGACTTTTTCCTACAATTTCATCGTCCGATAGCTCTATTATGTGCTGCAACAACCCCTCGGAGCTGGGTTCTTCTACAGCAGCAAACAAGAACTTTAAACCCTCAGAGGTCATGAAGTCAACTACAGTCTGATGGATGAACTGTACAACATACTGACCGGAGGTGTAAAGAACTACTTCGATAAGTCCACCGGATAAACTTTTCGTCAAAATTTTCATTCTCGCATCTGTTTCGACAAAATCTTTGCTATCTCGGCAGCTCATCTGTCCCTCATGAAGCGGTTTATCCAAGACCAGTGCAAACCGGAGCTCGATTAAACTCAAGGGCCGTAATGCTAGAGCAACCCATTGCATCAACAATAATGTCTTGGATCGATAATTAGCTTTAATGACATTAGTGAGGATATCTTTGTAGACGCGACCTAAATCATTCGGTACCTTTCCCAACATATCATGAATATCTCTTAAACTCGCCCCTTCATTCAAGTCATAGGCAACCTTTGGAACCACAAGTTTCACCCATTGAAAGACTCCTTTAGATTGCTTGACAATCGCGTTTTCCATAGTTTTCCTCCCCTCGATTGCCACTGGGTCATCGTCCCAAAGTCGGAATTTAGAACTAAGTTCCTCATGAACATAAATTGCAATATCTTGCTTATTACCGTTCTCCACAATGACCTCAAAACCATCACTTAATGTGACATTCGGGTAGTGTCGACAGGCAATGCAAATTCTTAAGAATCCACCTTCTCTGGATATTGTCTTTTGCATATCGTCAAAATATCCAATCAGATTTCTCGCATTATCATCACCTGCTTCATCAAGTGCGTCGACAAATATTGCAACAGGGGTTGTTTTTGCTATCCAGGTGATGGTAATGAATAGCCAGTCTCTCAACTCATCTGTAGCCCAAACACAACCGTCCTCTGATTGTCTAAGTGCCATCTTCTCGGTAAAGGACTTCCGAAGCTGGTCGCGAATGGAGGATGCTTGAGAATAGAGTTGATACAGCAATTCTCTGTACATCCCCTCGGGACTTTGTTGAAGAGGGGAACCGCGACCATGGAAAAAAAAGTTTAAAACTAGCTGGCGAGGATCGCGAGGACGAAAATTTGAGAGGATATATGCCATAAGGGTGGATTTGCCTGCACCTGGTTTGCCTGTGATCCAAATCAAGCTACGATGAGCGTCTTTCCAATCAAGGTAGGCACGGTTTTTGAAGATCCAGGAACAAGTAGTTGGATGGGCACGGTTCGCATCGTGACGTCTTTGTGCCATTTCGGAATATTGTATGGCGGATAAGACAGCTGGGTATAAGGGTTAAACTTGGGATGTGGTACGGAACCGAATTGCTTACCTTTGTCCTCAGCTGTGAGCTCATCTGGGACCACTATTCGATTAGACATTAGCACATGCATCGTCACTTTCTTTCTTGCACGGAACTCACTTTTATTAGCTTCATCTGCAAATTCTTTCAGGATACCCCACACTCTCTGGTATGACTTGCTTTCCGGCCCACTAAATCTGCAAATGTTTCGATGATGACGATTCATTGGTATCACCCTTTCGTCTGGAATGTGCAATATCGCACTCTCCTTATCAACCACCAATCCCTTCAATCCTGTACAAATGACCTGTTCTTGAAAACTGGCGATCATGAATCCCTCATATAGTTTCTGTTCTTTGAACTCATGTTGAGTGTCCCTCAGAACAGGTGAGTCTCGCGCAAGTGGTGTAATCAGCTCATCTCTCACGCGACCACTAAATCTCACTAAAAGCGCGGAAAAGCTGTTGGCAACATTGGCGATCGATAAAGGAAGCTTAGTCTGATCGGAGCCCCCATGCGGAGTGGCCAGGAAGAGGATGGCGGATGTGGATTTAAAGATGTTTTTGTAGAGGGTGCTTGAAAACGCTTTGATGAGTGCCTTCTTTATGACAATTCCTCCCATACTATGACATATGAAAATGATTCGGCGCTTCCTGTTCTCCTCGTTATTTCTTTCCCTCACTAAATCCTCGAGAAGATTTGTTGCAAAATCTTCTATATCGCCTGTCCCACGACTAAACAGTACATTCGCATCGTACCCAAACGAAAATATCCGCGCGCCTGGTAGCTCATTGGGTAACTGATCTCTCAGCCACATATTCTCATTTTCTCCTTTCTTCTCTGTCCATGTATTGTATGCATCACCTTTGATACCATGAAGTGCTACAACATCGATTCTATATGATGACTCTCCATCTCTTGGAGGTGTGGGTATTGGATTCAAGCGGAATAAACCAAACTTTTCGAGGGAGGTCGGAAGTACGGTAGTGGTGGATTTTGAGCGAGACTTTCCGAACTTCATTGACGCCATCAGGTATATAATTGAAGAGCGAAGATTGTCGCCAATTGCCAATCTCGTAATCTTACAATAACTTAACAAAAAATACAGTAAAAACAGACATTGCAATATTAAGAGATAAGGAAAGAGTACACCCCTCAACCGCCGCACACCACCATGCACCTGTATGCGTGCACATCTACTTCTACCCTACCATTGGAACAAGGCTTAGTAACTTCGCAGACGCAACTTTGCGCCTTGCTTCGTATATTTAGGAACCCTGAACGAATGTGCATGTTGGTTGTCTCAGAAGGGGATTTCATCCCCGGTATGACGATATAAGGTTGTAACTGTTCTTCAGCGCTGAGCCAAAGGTTCGGGAAAATTGTGGTTCAGTGGACGGAAGTAGATTTTGTTGGGCGCTTATTGTGATTTATTTTTTGGACCAATAGGATGAAGCGAAAGTGGCCCGAATTTAGGTGTTAACGTTGATCTGTCAGATAACACGTGATATAATATCTCATGCCAACCATCCACTCCTGCTAACTGAGAAAGAGTCCAGCTGCAGTTGATTTATCCATTTTGCTGATTCTTTTAGTTATATAATCTCTTTGGTCTTCCGATATGATCAACAATTAGGCCAACTGCAGTTGGACTCGTTCTTAGTTAGCTGAGTTTAGACGGTACCTGCTACTTTTGGCATTCATCGGCCATATTATACAGACTCACGATCGAACAAAAGTATCTGCTTCCACCAAAGTCGATTACCTAGTACAGCATACTCGAAGCAAAGCTGCGCAGCTCGCAAAAGACATATGGACTGCAACGTGAGGTCAACTACACCCAAATTGACTTTTATCAATCTAATATTCCTTCAAGTGGAAATAAATTTTACTCCGGAAAGGCTGTCATCAAGACAGCCCCAAAAGAAAGCCTTGAAAACGGGCGGGATGTGATGTCCTAAAGCAGTTTCGCACTTCCTTCATTTTTAGTTCTACAATATTTGGATGATTCCCTCTCATAAGGCTCTACTAATAAGTTCAGATGTGAAGTTTGTGGCAAAAGGAGTACTTCAAAAAAAACTCAGATTTACACGAAAATGGATACACATATACCGGTATGCTCATCGAGGTCTCAAAATGATCCCATCTACTCAATCAAGCGACCCTCCGGTGTACGTAATTCTCGACTGGTTTAGCAGGTTTCTATGGAGTGTTTAAAGAATCCGACCTCTCAAAGTGTTGAGACTTGAGTCGAGAGAAATAAGTCGTCTCAAGATTTGTAACGATGGCAACTTCGGTTGACGTTAAGATTGCAATCATTCTTGATATTGTTAGACTGGAAATAGATTTCAGGTTGAGTGATATATATAGCTTGAAAACATCCCACAAATCCGTCGAATGCTTGATGGAATAATCTGTATTGAGTATATTCGTGTAACCACTAGATACTCTGTGATTCTCTCTTCTCTATATCTCTAATGTAACTTTACATGCCATACATATGCGTACTATACCAGGGCTCCAGGCTAGGCGCATATTGAAGATATTTCTCGTTGAGAAGAAGTTCAAAGAGAGAGTCAATACTAAGTGGAATGCATTGCTAGTCTTTACCCGAATCTTTAAATGCTGATGAAGGGGAAGCTTGTAATTTGTTCTCAGTAAAGATTATTTACGCGTAGCTACTCAAATGACGTTAGTACCAATCGGCTGACCGCCTAGCCACCCACCACCAGCGGCAGAATTACCATTTTTGTTCTCAATACTAAATTATTTTACATTACAACAGTGCCTACACATGCGATCATTTTCTGTTTCTATTAATTGCTTCAGGATTAGTCGCATTAAATTGCATGCTCTTGGTATTCGGCAGACAGTTTCAATCCATCGATTCTTCTCAACCTCAACCATGGATACGACTCTCCCTGATATAACAATCGCGCCCGCTGCTGATCAACATATTCTGCACGATGGAAAGGAATATACTACAGTCAAGGAAGGTCTTGCACATATCCTGATACCCGCAGAAGGAGCGAAGATACCGCAGACGACTCCTAAAGGTCAAAGCCAAGTACAATCTGTGTTCTACAACCCTATTCAACAATTCAATCGAGATTTGAGCGTCTTGGCGATTAAGGCATATGGAGAAAGTACTTTGGAAAAGAAGAGGAAGATAATCGAACGCGATAGACAGAAGAATGTTGCCAAGAAGGAGAAGAAAAGAAAGAGGGCTACTGAGGCACAACATGATGGACCGAGGAAAGCTGGCAAGCTCGTGACTGCAGGAGAAGCTGTAGAACTCCCATTAACCGTCGCAGAAGCAAACAATGCCAATACCGACAAGGAAACAGAGACTGGGAAAGATGATGCAAATGTTGAAAATGAAGTGACAAATTCGACGATCCTAACGGCCAATGGCGAATCACATACTCATGTCACAACGGAGACGGCTGAAGTATTAGAAATTAAAAACAATCAGGAATCTACAAAATCCGCAAATCCAATCAACCCGAAATTCAAAATACTCGATGCACTATCTGCGACCGGACTCAGGGCTATTCGCTATGCCCAAGAAATTCCCTTTGCGACATCAATCACCGCCAATGACCTTTTGCCCGCAGCTACGAAGACAATCGAATTAAACGTAAAACATAACAATTTGGAAGACAAGATCAAAGCTGTCACTGGTAATGCATTGACGCACATGTACAGTCTTGTGGGTGATGATTGCAAAGATGGAAGTGGCAGCAGAAAGTACGACGTAATTGATTTGGACCCTTATGGCACAGCCGCTCCGTTTTTGGATGCAGCAGTACAAGCCGTGAGAGATGACGGAGGGCTCCTTTGCGTAACCTGTACTGATGCTGGTGTATGGGCTTCCAATGGATATCCCGAAAAGGCATACTCTCTATACGGAGGAGTTACAGTCAAAGGCCAGCATAGTCACGAAGGCGGCCTACGACTCATTCTACATGCAATCGCTACATCCGCCGCTCGATATGGCCTGGCAATGGAGCCGCTTCTTTCTCTTTCGATTGATTTCTACGCACGAGTATTTGTTAGAATATACAAATCTCCCTCCGATGTCAAGTTTTTGGCTGGAAAAACCATGATGGTATATAATTGTGATACTGGTTGCGGGGCATGGACAACTCAAATGGTTGCAAAGAATAAACTCGCACCCAATAAAAATGGTAATGGCCATTTCTGGAAACACGTTTACTCCATGGGACCATCCGCAGGTGAAAACTGCTCTCATTGCGGCATGAGACGTCACCTTGCTGGACCTATGTACGGCGGACCACTTCATTCACCCGAGTTTGTCCAAAGAATCTTAGACGATCTTCCTAACGTATCCAAGGATACATATCATACAACGGCTAGGATCGAAGGAATGCTCACATTGGCTCTCGAAGAGAATTTACCTCCCTTAGAAGACAGTTCGGCCTCCCCAACCGCCTCATCAAGGACTGGCAAATACGACCCTGCGGCCCTTGACCATTATCCATTCTTCTTTATACCATCAATGCTTGCCAAAGTAATTCATTGCGTTACACCCCACGAGAATGCCCTGCGAGGAGCTTTACGGCATCTCGGTTACAGGGTCACTAGGAGCCACACGAAGGGTGGTAGTATCAAAACCGATGCCCCTTGGGATGTCATATGGGAGATGATGAGGGAATGGGCTCGACAAAAGTGTCCGCCAAAGGAAGGTGCTATTAAGAAGAATACAGCCGGGTGGCATATTATGGGCTTAGACAAAAATGAGCCGTCCAACCAGGAGTCAAATACTAAGGATGCGACGAATGGTGTTGAGACCAACGAAGAAGATACGTCATCCACCGAGAAGAAAAAAATCGAGATAGTATTTGACGAAAAACTGGGAGTGGAGAAAGACGCGAAAAAGATAGTGAGATACCAAGTCAACCCTCGAGAGAATTGGGGGCCAATGAATCGTGCCAGTGGCCATGCATAGGTTCAATCTATGCCCTCATATACCCTGTCATACGAATTTACATCATACTATACATTATTTGTTTTCAATCGGTGATTATCTATAGTGCTTGACTGGTTAGGACGCTGCACCCTTTCGACAATTGATTATGCACTACTGGAAAGGCTTTTTTGTTTGACTTTAGTTTATTCTCTATGTAACCTGAACACTTTTCGTCCAAGTCGTTTTATACAACTTGGAGTTTTCGGTTGTTCCTCTTGCGTCTCAGGTTCATAATCTTCCCAGGGCAGCTGTCTTACATTGTGCCTGATTGACGCCGACTGTCTATCTTGTCTATCCTGTGGCGATACACAAAGCCTCAGAGTGACTTCTTCGTCCTGTCCTATAACAACTTTCTTCTCCAGGTATTCCGCACATACACTCCTAGATGCTAAGAAGATCCAGCCTTCCGGTGGATATAATTCCGCAACTGTGCCTTTTGGCACATAAACTGTGAGTTCTCCTGTGCTACTCGCTTCGTGTATGTGAATGGCCACGGAGATTTCTCCCTTCGAGGTTGAAAGTCGATAATCGACAAATGAAAGCCCTGCAAGTACAGGATGTACTTTCCACCGAGACCAACCTGGACTTAATGGCTCAACTCCCGCCAAGTATTTCGGGAGAATAGAAACGGGCCAGGTAGATCGTGCTTGCATCATTGACGTCCTGGATGATGTTGGCTGTCCGTTTGGCTTCATCTCCTTCCAATGCCCTCCTGAATACTCTGACATTTCTGGATCTGCCATAGGGCCCCATACTCTTTCTACTAATTTCACCGCGTCGTGTCCTTTTTCAGCCTGAAACAATGCTTCTACTGCCATTCCACAAGTATAAGGGCTCACAACCTGCACACCTTTTCCACCCTCTGAATCCCGAATTACTCGCGGAAGTTCACCTCCTTTTGAAATTCCCAGTAACTCGTCCGAGCTTTCACGTTGAGGTACGATACCAAGGATTCTCCCGTATGCGTTAACTTCATGGGATATCGTCGAGGGCGGAGTACGGTCACTTAGCCGCAAAACCCCTGTTTCTTGATGCCAAAAATTCTCCAAAATCTGCTCCTTGAGTGCATTGGCACGGGAAGTGTACTGATCTTCCACTCCGAACATGCAACACATCTTGCTCATCGAAATCAAAGCATCGTAGTATGCAAGATTCAATTTGGATGAGGCACCAACTAGTATATCGGATGACATGAAGTCCCCTGTTTGATGATTAGAATTTGTCCATGGCATCGGGAGGAACAGCCTTACTTGACATGCTTGGTGGTGCCACAATCAATCCCCGTTTATCTTCAAAAAGCCTTGCGAAATTTAACGAACTCTCCAGCTTATCCCATATCCTCTCCACAATAGAGAAATCACCTGTGTACATCCAATAATCTTTGACAACTACCAACAATTGGAAGCTGAAAGTGAGGGAGAAGAATGCATAGGTAGGAGGCTCACTTCGTTCGTTCTCGAAGAAAATCTTTTGTATTGGACTTATATTGCCAAGATAACCATCAGTCCCTTGGTGACTAGAAAGCAAGGAAATACTTCCCAAAACCGCCTCTAAATGCCCCGTTGAATGATATATGGACCGACACATTACGAGTAGATCACCAGCGGAGCATATACGATGACCCTTTGCACTGTCGACTGTACATGGTATCTGGTTTGTTCCAACTTGGAAATCAGACAAGACACGCACTTTGTTTTTTAGTCTCATGTCATTCTCATATAGAATTTTGTCATCGACATCTCTCACCACGAGCGATCGATATATCGCGAGGTAATGTTCAGGGCCACCGAACGCAACTGAACCGGTATTTGGCTCGGCTCCGGGCGATGAGTAAATGCTCAACCTTTTCACAAGAGCGACTTTTCTGTTGTTGATCTTAACCAGAACGCTCGAACCTCGAGCTTCTGTATCAATTCGAAGCCAATCAAATAAATCAAGGCTCCCGGGAAGATCCCATGTTCCTTTCGATATTGCCGGTGGAGTATTCGCAGTACCTTCGAAAGCCAATAACCTCCTTGACGCAATATCGATCAAGAATATCAATCCACTTTCCACCATGTGAACACCCCAACTGGCGCCACCAGACTCAATCTTCACCTTGAATTTGATCGCCTTATCTTTCCAGTGTGTGCCATGTCGACACGGTGCCCATCTTTGTCCTGGTATCCTGGTGCCAAATTCGGCCACCTTCCATACCTCTTGTACTTCTCCAGCTTCCACAGTACATCGATCGATAGTATTGACGCCATCTCTCCATATATTGTTGAGCAATTCACTTGAAGACACGAAACGACTCTCCCCTAGTGTTCGTGCCCTCAGTTGTCGAAACCCTATGGATGCGATTGCCACTGAGCAATTTGGCGTTACAAGTGTAAGTTTTTGATATCGTTGAGAAGTTTGTGGGAGTTTGAATTCCATTAGTTTGGGGGTCTTCGAGGGTACAAAGTACAGAGTTTTCGCTCGATAGGTGTCCATCGCATTAGATAATCCAAAGAATGGACCGTCTCCTAAAGAAAGTTAACACCTTGTTCGATGGTCGTTAGCGCGGGCTTACCTTTTCTTCTGTTGTGTACTCCGGCGCTTGTTTCGCTGTACACAACATCCACTACAGCGGGCCGCCCATTGCTAGTTACTTTGAGCGTCTCGATAAATGGCAATCCGCCTACACATCTTCCATAATCGAGTATGATTTCTTGTATCCCGTCACCCTGGGTTGAAAGAATAAGAGGCTGATCTCGTGCTAATTGCAGTTCACGGCCACCAATTTCTTTCCAGATCTTCAAGGGGAAATGAAACCCCAGAAGGCTGCCGGGGTCGTTTGGGGGTGATCTTCTTGGGATCGGTGACATGTTTTGTAATTTATTTGCAGAAAAGTTGCTACGAAGTCGACTAAGAAAAGGCGAACTAGGAAGGTAGAGAGAGGGGGAGAAAAATGGTAAGGCGATATGGTAGTGCTAAAAGGAATTCACATCAGAGGGGAGTACCAGTAGTTGTACCATCCGATCATCAAAATGTGCATAAACCTCCGACACTTTTTGGATGCCATCATGACATTACTGGACGTCGTGCGGGGATCGTCGGAACCCGAAAATGTCACGGCATTGACCCCAACAAGCCGCTGAAGACATTAGATCAGACGATTTGCACCTGAAACTTATCTCCAGTCCAGATTGATATTAGTCATTGCATTGAATGGGAAAAACTCAATTCGCTCCACTTCGAATTGGAGTTTTCTCGAATCTAAGGAAAATATATCATTTGACAACACGAATGAGAGATGTCTAGACAGCCTTGGCATGGATGTTAACGCGGATCCGGACTAAAGAAAGGTGTCATTGTCCAGATCAAAACTTTTGTGTAGTGGCCCCCGTGTTGACTTGTCGCTCCCGAGGTAGTCTTGCTCCACAGGTCACTCTTCCTAGAGGTGAGATCAATAAGGTTCAGGATATATGAACCAGTGAGTAATAAGTGGGAAAAGCTTATGTTTGGCAACGGATGATTTGCTGATACATCCTCGAATACTTGGTAAATGTGTGAAATATACAGCATGAATGCTTGAAGATTGAACAAACACTCTTAGCAAATGCTTCTCGAGGCAAACACTACCGGTACATACTTGGAGATCACACGGATACCATGGGTCGGTAAATACTCCGAGTGGTTCAAGGGGTATTCGATCCGTTCTATGGTGGATTGCCCAAAAGCTGAGAGTGGTGGAGAGTTTCAAGCTAGGACCCCTCGACTGCAGAATTGTGGAATTTGAATAATGATGAAGCTAGGATGAAGCTCGCCGAGCGGCGGAGGAGATCAACACGAATAGTGAAGTCCACCTTTTTGATACCAGCATAGAGACTTCAAGACAAACACGGACAGGAGAGAAGTGAATCCCGGCATTTGTCAATAACGTTCAAGTCGGCCATCCATATTCTACACTGTTTACTGTCAGTGGCACTAGACAGCTGGAAACGGGTGGTACCGGTGGTGCAGGAGTCTTCTGGAGACTTTCCTCTACTCTACGCCAATACTTTCGAAAACCCAGTCGCTAACGCTAGCCCGGTATCTCTTTCAGGTTCAAAATGTAGCAGAATATACTGCCAAGGCTTCTCTTTAATCTGATCTTTCCTGATGTCACTCTCATTTGGGCAAATATCATGATTTCCCCAGGCAAAAAGCTTGGTGTTCTTAGTCTTTGCGCATTATGATCTCGCCATTGAAAGGTTCTAAAAAACTGTCAGAATCGGACACGGACTTCAAAGTAGGCTCATCCATTAGTTCTATCGACAAGATTCGAACTGGGATATCCCATCCGAAGATTCTGTTCTGGAGAATTTTCGTGTTTTAAATAGACACTCAGTGTCGCTCATTCAGATGGGGCTTGTTTCTGACGATCAAGCTTAAAATCGACTAGTTCTTAATTCGATCTGCGGTGTGTGATTTTCAGTAGTTTTAACTTCAAAGAGAGACCGGCAAGTGTCAACTATTGGACTAAAATCTAACGTATGCATGGTGCTAAAGTTCACGGACTGGTACGTGCCATAGGGGTTTGGAGATCAGCAGTGCCGTGCCGAGTGCGGGAAGTCCTCGCTAGTGGTAGTTCAAACTTCAAAGTTTGAAGTTTGAACTTAAGAGTCAAGACCTTGGGCATAATCCAGTTTTCCTCGACGCTAGAAATAATCATCGGTAGTAACGGCTCAGACTCTCAGAGTAGCTTCCTCCGATCAACGGAACTTGCGGCTTCTATTCGGTGAAAGCGATGTCACAAGTACTGGTACTTTTGTATTGTAACCCTAATTGTACGCTCACTAGTCCCCCACTCGCCAGACACCACCTAAAACATTTAACCCACGAGAGGTAGCGCGGGTTGGACTTGCGTGGTAATACTGTATTTATTAGTGAGTGGGTGGGATGCTACGATTGTCAAGAATACACGACAAAGTATTCTAGATCTACACCGTTTTTGAGGGCCTATCAGATAATTGGTAATGACCTCTAACAGGGTTGACAATCTCAATACTTTTTGATCTTCAGGAACTATTTCCGCACCTTACGCCCATCAAATTCCTAATCAATAGAATGGGAATAGCTTCATGTTTTACAATTTGTATATCTTCTGTGTTGCGAAGTGCTTTGCAGTTGATGGTCAAATAATGATCTATAGTACAAAATTTTGTATGAATAATTCTTTTGACCATTGACCATGAGATTATACGATTACTTGAGATTGTGTGATCGCTTTTGCTGATTAGGAACCGCAAGCTCCGTTGGAAAGAGCTAAATATACCATCTGATGATTAATGCATCTGCAATTTATCTTCATGCCGCAACACCCGCATCCAGACTCCAAAGATGAAGTCATTGATTTACATCTGTCATTGAAACTTTTTTTCCTATTCTTATGGGAATCCTCCTCGGCATCTACGGGCGAAAACCAAAAGAAGTTACGGGTCCAACAAGACCCACTGGATAGCACTCGAGTACAGTATGCATCCATAACGATGGAGTTTCATCCCAAGAATCTCTGCCTTGTATTCACACAGACATTCTGACCACTTCATATATGGTACTTGGTTCAGATGAAGGAGAAATCGGATATCCGATCATTCCGATGTTTGTCATCTGAAATTGAGACCACTGAGTCAGAGTACCAGTACATACTTGCAAGGCTCTCGTCAACGTTGCGAGTTTGTTGCGAGTTTGCACTGAGACTTCACAGTACACCTATAAGACTACACCTATAATACAGTTAAATGTTACGTCTCCAGATATATCGATATATCACCCTGCAATTATGAGACCGGACCAGAGCCTAGAACGGCTGGCCAGATCGTTGTACCGAGTTATAACTTAACGGCAATGATTTTGCCAATTATTTCAGTGGATGTTTGTGATACCAACTATCGCTCACTAGCTTAGCCTCAAGCTCTTTATCAGTGGGGTCCCTTCTTTTAAGCTTAGTGACTAGCTTTGCTAATCTATAAGATCGTCTTATATGAATATCCGGATCCGCACCCAACAAGAAAATGAAAAAAAGTTGCTTTGAAGAAGTCAGTTTACGATTCAACTCTCGTCATTTGACTAGCAAACTTCTGTCAAATTCATATTAAGAGCGTCATATTGAGTGTCTCCATTGGGAGAATCACGATAGCTTATCATCTTGGCTGTTGAATCGAGTAGTTCACGAGTTGTCTATCATGATTCATGACTGCTGCAAGCATTGAGTCCTTCCTGACGGATCTAGCTCCTAAAGACACTTGTCTATGATTATCAAAAACCTTTGTATGTTGTCGAGATAGCTACCAAGCCATGAGGATCCGTGTCATAACGAGCTGTTGAAAAATTCGAGATTTTATTATTCTATCTTACCAAATGTTCCTTGCGTTCATCATCTCCTCCTCCACCAATCACAGGCCTTGAAAGGGAATGATCTAATCTCAAGTTTCACATATGTAAGCGCCCGCTTCTGCAGTCCTATATTTGGACTTCAACGTCTTGGACGCAGAAGGATTTTTTAAATCTCAAAACCCCAACATCTCAAAAAGATGTCGTCCCCATTTTTGTATAACCTCTTTGTTTCCTTCTCTCTCAATATGCACGAGGACCACATTTTCTATTACATCCACAGAGATCTGCAGCTAGAAGTAGCTGTTTGATATAAATTGAAGTTATGGTTCTGATTCTCCGAGTTGATCATCTGTATCCGCTCTTTCTAGCATTTTGTATCGGGAGTCGCGAAGTTGGTGCGCAATCTTCAACGGCATTGTTTGCTGGCGATTATCCGGTTATCGCATATGCGATTGGCTCAGTATGTCATTTTCTGGTCTCTTCCATGTACAGTTATTCTAATGTATTCTCATGAAGACTGCAAATGTCGTCACTACGTACTTGGTAGCATGCCCCGCAGGTTCAGAAACCTCGACATGTAATTTTCAACAACCATACATTTTAAGACAGGGACCTTCGACCGTTCAGTTAGCAATGGCATTTCCTGGTTCTACGTATTTCTTCCTTTCTTCCTAAAACTCGAATAAGGCTTTAACTATCTCTAGGACAATTGATCTACGCTGCACACTTTCTGGATCCTCTTCAATGGCCTGTGCTGCTACCGAATCAAATCCAGGCTCTACTAAGAGCGCGACGACAATCGTCACCGGTGATGTAGCTGCTGCAAGATTTCGTGCAATTTCGATCGTTACGAATTCTGCGGATTTACTTACGTATGCTGCGGGTATGACTACCGCATCAGATTCAAGCGCGACATCGAGCTCTAGCGCGGGCGTATCAAAAACAAGTTTAGCTACAAGTATAGCTATTACGTCTACGCCAATCTCGAGTGATGCAAGCCGTGAGACCGCTGTTGGCACTATCAAACCAAGCACGAGAAGTTTATTGGCAGGGACTGCGAGTCCTTCACCTACATTGTTAAGTGTGAGTTGGTCGAGTAGTACCCCTACCATTACGAGTGTTGCTTCGGAAAGTTCTACAGGAGGTGCACTGGGTGCTGGAGTAAAAAACGGTGCTAATCATGGATTATTGGGAGTCATGGGCATAATTGGAGTAGGGGTTTTGGGGTTTTGATGATATGTGATGAGACACGATAGGCGGGGTCAGGAAGATACCTGTAAGGAATGAGGAGATAGAGACAAGGGAAAGGGGCGGTAAATGGTTACGTAGGCAGAATTAATTGATCAATGTGTATGTATAAACCAAAGTTTCGGGCTTGGAGGTTTGTCTTCTGGTTGTTTATAGTGAAGTGAGGCGATAGAAGATTTACTTGTATAAATTAGAGTATTGAGCGTTGCATGATGGGGGATCTGTATCAGTATCAGTTAATGAGATCCCAATATCCAAAATACCTCCGCCAAGTAAGCAGAGTATACACAAAGTGACAATGCCTTGCCAATGAATCAGGAATTGTGGATGATCAATTTTTCAAATCTTGTTGAGGAAAATCTCCTCAACATTCAGAAGTCATGACTACAAAAGCATCCCCTTGAAAGTATGGCGAAAGTCTGCCGTCGAACGTGTGAAGGGCGTTTCGGAATGCAATGAATTCCGACGAGTTTCCTTAGTATCATGAAGAGCTGGCTCACAAGAAAAAGGGGCATACAATACCGAAACATATTATCATTTGAGAATTTCATGGCACGACCGCTGAGTCAAGGTCTGGGAAACACAAACGAGATTCCACAATCCGAAGTGAAAACAGATTGACGACGAAGTAACAAAATCATGTAACCATTTCAAGTAATACCATATCATAAAACTAACTCCGACAAGCTTCCCGTTTCAGTTTGTTGTCGGAGATAAATTTACAGAACATAAAATCAGGCTCCTCTTCCACAGTATTGATAAAGTTGGGCCTTTCTCGAATGAATTCCGGTGAGATTTACGAGATGTGGCCGCAAAGGGGTGATGGTTAGCTGGCCTTGAAGGATGTTGAAGTCAATCCTGAAGCCTTTTTCGTCATGGGCAGAAAATAACAAGAATGATAAACCATTAGGTCTAGGAAGCTTTTATTAACTAAATTGGATTCATACTTTATCGCTATTTACAAATATACTCATCCTTCACTCATTTGACTTCAAGCAATAACTTTCCACGTTACTCGAGTAAAATCTTAGAGATATTATTACCACTGGAATTTCATCATCGTAATAACATCTGGACTGAGGTACTTCATTAGACCTCATCTTCAATTTCAATCTCTTCATCATCATGGTCTATACACCCAGGTCATTTTCCTCCAAATATACGTTCTCCCTTATTGCATTATCTATCATATTATTTTTCCAACTATGTTTGTGCCCTACCAGCAGCTGATGCAAATCCTGTTGCTAGTCCCCAGATAACAGAAGCTCCTACTCCAACCGCAACTTTGAATAACGTGACAGCAAAGGAAACTTGATATGGACAAGTGACGTGGCTGCATATACAAACTGTTGTCAGTATTCGACCGAGTTTGGAAACAAGGGTGCTTATAGAATCAATTTGGCGGGGGGTGAGTGAAGTTGACGATGGTATGATTTCCTAAAACTAATCTCAACGACAGTGGGTAATACCGATGATACACCAAATGTAGATGTTAGTCTTTCCCAAGACGAGTGCGCCCCGAAACTAGTAGCAAATATCGAGTCTCGAGGTAATCATGCTTTTCTTCTTTGACCCTATTCGCTTCCTAACTTGTTTTATATAAAATTAACGAGTCCATTTCTATAGGTGGAAAGATTTATGACTCCTCTTAGACTTGTGTCCCCTCTTATGGCGCATCGGGCGATACTTATGTTTATTTTGAGTTGAAGAAAGGAGACAGCAATTTAGTAGCGGCGGCACTTCTTGCAATTGATAAAATATCGCCTCAATGGCAGTGTTTGGATGACTACACTGTATACAAAAATAAGGGAAAATCTTGTGATATTCAGATGGGGAATACTCTGAAGTCTGGTGAAGGTAGAAGTATATGAGAATGAATTGAGCAAAAGGATAGTTGGTGTGAAGAGGATGGTAGTGGGAAATCGGACAGGATGATTGTGATTGGCGTTTGTGGGGTGGATTATATTATTCTCTTTCACCTATTTGCCAAAACTTTGTAGTAGCGAAGATAAAGTCACTCAAGTGTCCAATTCGGGTCATAGAGGTACTTGATATTCTGATACAATTGTCGCTAATACTTTGTTTTGCATTTATGCCGTAAACATGAAGACCTTGAGGAATAACTTCTCTTCATATCATCGGTAATAGTATAGGTCATGTAATAGTTTCATACTCGAGTACAATTATAGGGATTCATTGATATGTCGAAGTATCAAGCAGTTCCAGAGATCCGCGCGGTGCGAGGTAAGGTTATCTTGAGTGAGTGAAAGAAGAAAACATATTTGAAAAGTGCCGGCAAATACGATCTAATCATTTAGAGGATATTTAAAATATGCGAACTCACTCAAACATTCATATTAGTATCATCACAGGCGTACATTCAAGTCAATTGGTTAACTACTAATTTCCCTAAGTTGACTGACTACCTGTCGGGTTGCAGAAGATGTCCGAAGAAAAGAACGAAAGCACTAAAGGATATACAGTATCAGCGGATATGACTGAACAGATCCAATGAAAATGAAACAAAAATTCTTTCCCTGGAGGCTATTACAATTCGCATGAAGAAATCTCCTTTTAATCCGGCTTGGAATGGTGCGTGTCGTCGGAAAAGTTGTTGATTGCCTTCCTTCCCTTAGTTCTAGTTTCCTATATCCCCACGTATATCCGGAAACCCCTTAGCAATATCCGTTGTACGACACTTCAGTTCTTATTTATTTAGAGATAAATCCTCTTAAACATATCATTTCACAAATCAAACAGTCAACAATCAGACTCTTTACATTCGGATCATTTCCGAGTCACATATTCTTTTCGGTCCTTGGATAATCCCATCACACACATTCTATCAACATCAAGTCTACTCAATCATTCAATGATCATGGCTCCAATTAACTTCGGTGTTCTTATGATCCCCTATCAAACTATTGACGTCGCTATGCCTCTGGATGTTTTGGGTTCATGCGTAAGTCCTCTCATAAACTTTCATAGATTGGTAGTGATAAGCTAATACACCTCTTAGTCCAAGGCAATGATGGAAGCTTGTCAATCTCCCGACACACCAGAGATTGATCGCCTGATCAAGCACGCGATTGATATCAATTTCTTTCATATCAATGAAACCATGGTAAGATGATTAAGGTTCGAAATGTAGACGGCTGGACTGATATCGGATATAGGAACCTGTTGAACTCTCGGCAGGATTCAAAGTGGTACCAACAACTACCTTTGCAGAATGCCCACCACTTGATTACCTCATTATCGGTGGCCCAATCCCAAGCTATCGCCTTCCAGAATCTTTCAAAAGCTTTATCCGTGCCCATGTTGCGGCAGGTAAAGGCCTCTTCATAACCTGCACTGGCGCAATAACTGTTGCACAGACGGGTATTCTTGACGGAAAGAGAGCTACAATGAATCATTGCTTCTTTGATTATGCCAAGAAACATCACCCAAATGTGAATTGGACCATCGATGCTCAATGGATTGTTGATGGAAAGATTTGGACGGCAGGTGGTGCTTGTGCTGGAATGGATATGATGGCTAGTTGGGTAATAGATAAGGTTGGAATGGATCTTGTAAAGTTTGCGTTTGAGACTTTGGATTACGAACCCAGGGATGTGAATGGGAATAGAGTTCTTCCTCAGCAGCATCACTATACTGTGGGAGTTTAATTAACCCTAAAGGAGTGGAGGACCATGAAATGGATGTGCTGTGCCCCCATTCTCCGCATTCTTAGCCAGTTTGTAACACAAGTCAATTATTCTTCGCAAAAAGAAAGACCAATAACAATAAATCATGAACTCTAGCATCTGAAGTCATGACAGTGATCAAGTAAGAAGATTGAAAGCGAGTGAACTTGTTAGGATTAAACCATATCTAAAGTCTAAACTCTAAGAAATCTTTTGACATCTTAATTAGGATATGACATGCGCGAGAGCTATGAGACGCGTGTATGTTGCTGCTGAGATGATGGCGATGAAACGACCCTGCATAGCAATACTTCTATCATAGATGTTTCCATCATTAGTAGTCGTTGAGCTAAGCTATGTGACACACCTACCGAGGAGGAAGATATTGTCTGGGAGGCTTGCTCAACACTACTTGAGGGATTAGTGGCACATTGTCGAGGTTGCTGGTATGAGTATTGTTCATTGGTACTCGACTACATCCCAGAAACAACCGAAAGACCCCACTGGACCACTGGATGCAACTCTGGTTCGGACAAGTACTTCGATATCGCGGGCAATGACGGCAAAATTCTGGCCGCGAAAGCCCTAATCCTTTCACAATTAAAATCATCAAGTTGAAGCATCTGTTGTTTAAATTAGACAAGATCGCATGTGAGGTCGTTCGTGTTGACTTTAGTATTGACGTTGGTATTGGTATTGTTTGATCGTTAGTTGACTGACCTTTTACAAAGCTGGATACACCGACTTAAACTTTGGTCAACGTGGTTGCGAAACTTTGCGCTGCCGTCGGACTGCCAGTTGATATTACACTCCCAAGTTTAATACTATTATATAAAGTGAGCTTCTTAACCACCCACCGTATTCTTGTATCAATTTATCAAGCTAGAGAGAGAGAAAAGCACAGGGCAGAGACAAAGATAGAAAACACCAACAACAGCAATCATATGGCAACCTGTGTCTTGAAATTGCAGAGCTCATGGCAATGGATATGCAGTCATGAATGATACTACCATCCTGTACATATATTCGTGATCTCAGATACAAGAAAAGAACTCTTTTCTAGATCTAGGTCGTTTGAAGCGCAGCAGTACCGAGTGTCCTTAGAACATGGTTTGAAGTTCATACCAAGAACTGCGTCTAGACGGCGGCACGGGTAGTCAACGCCGCACATGAGGCAGAGAACTTGCGTTTATGGGATGGGCCTCCGTTATGGTAGCTTGAGCTCTAAACTTATCCGACGACACTTTCGATCGAGGCACAGCCAAACCCAGACCAACACTCGTCGCAGTCAACGGCCCATACAACTGAATATCCAAGCGCAGGTAACAATGTGTGGAACATATCGTGAAAGCTTTATTCGTTATCTAACGGGGATCAACCGGTAACAGTTTCATGTGTATCGTAAATCGCAGACCACACCAGGAGAGGACAATTTGTGAGGATATATACATATACATATAAGTTACGTATATCCGAGAAATGATGATAGTAATAGTAATGAAAGTGATGTCCCTATCGGTCTGTTTAACCTTGATGACCATGAACGCTGTGATTTGTGATCTAGATCGTCGACTTCGTAAGAGACCATACGCCTTATGTTTGATTAGGTATCGGTATATAGAATATGATATGGAAGAGTACGAAATAGGTCATATTGAAGATGTTAAGGATTTATAAAGCCCCCTTTTGGAATGCGCCACACCACTCACCGCCCGCCCCGCATCGTCATGTCACGATAAGGTTCCCAGTAAATCAGTCAATTTGAGACAACTTACATGATTCTTTGGTTGAGCAATTATACTACCAAATGAATACATACCGACCGGATACACATATTAATACCTACTACCTACATTCACAAAATATATTCTTAGATTTAGATTTACCTAAATTAGAATGTCTCTACAATAACATTCATTATCTGCTATCTTTAAAAGTTACATAACTCTACTCTACCTACTTTTACTTGATCTTTCCTTATGCTTTCTGCCTTTCCACTCCTACTCTACAAGCCCACCATAAATTAACAAGATGCTACTTTTGTACCAGGCTGGAAGTGTAAAGATAGGAGAAATAGTTCGATATACAGTTACATATACACCAGCACATGATCGGATTCTTCCTTCTCCTGCAAGACTTCATTTGAAGATCAAGAATACTTCTGCCATAGCCCTTCGAGCAGCTTTTGTCCATGGTCCTTATACTCTCTACGCCGCGGCTTATCCTTCCACGTTTAACCCTAATGTCAAATGCGAAAACCCTCGACGAGATGGTGTACCTGAATTCGAACCGAATCTCAAAGCCGGAGGTTCTTTCTCAACAGAACTTGTTGTTCCAGAAGATGTGCGGAAGACGGCGGGAAGTGCGAATCGAGATGGGAGATCGCCTGGCAGAAACGATGCGGATGTGAAAAGCGTTACTTGGATCATTGAGGTTACGTCGCAGGTGGTATTCTCAAATTCTGCGGCCGTTCATTATGAGATTCTGCTTGGCCGAGATGCGAAAAGTCTTGCTCTAGGGTTTGCTGCAGGTTCAATATTAGGAGGGACAGCACCAGTGCCTGGACAAGTCCATGATCATCAGCAGAGTCAAGGGGCGAAAGATGGCCATCATGCGGCGTTACCGAGGGGTGTCTATTCCAGGGCGATACGAGTGAGGGTGGATGATACTGCAAGTTTATGGAACACGCCGAAGTTGGATGATAGAGATAAGGTGGTGGAGGAGCAGAGTTCTAAGGGAAGCAATAAGGTTGCACCAGTTGAGGATGCAACGGGAGAAGGTCATATCGAAGAAAATCCAAGGAAGAAACGGAGGAAAAATGTACATCTGGTGGTTTTGACACACGGATTGCATAGTAATCTTGGGGCGGATATGTTATTTCTGAAGGAGAGCATAGATGCGACAGCAAAACAAGCTAAGATTGATGCTAAAGCCCGAAAGACGAAAAAGAGAGAAGAGGAGAAGCAAAGGAGGGCAGCAGCGCGAGCCGAAACGAAAGAAGGATCGGGAGACGGGGATTTGAACAGACAGGCGAGCACAGAAGACCTTCCAGAGGAGCAAGAAGAACCATATGATGAATCCGAAGACGAGGACGAAGTTATTGTAAGAGGATTTTCCGGAAATGTCGTTCGAACCGAAAGAGGAATAAAATACCTTGGAAAAAGACTTGCTAAATATGTTCTCACGATGACATACCCGGATCAACCATTTCGACCGACTATAAAGAAGTCAGCGACTGAAGCTCTTTCTCATGCTCTGAAGCCTGATTCATCAAAGTTGATGGATGATTCCGGCAAACCAGTACATGAAAATAGCAGCATTATCAAAGTGCCTCAAGATGTCGACCTCCCTTACCATTTCACCAGTATCAGTTTCATTGCTCATTCTCTTGGTGGATTGGTACAAACGTATGCTATTGCATACATCCAAAAGCATTCACCCCAATTCTTCGACATAATCAAACCAATCAACTTCATCGCCCTTGCTTCACCATTCCTAGGTCTTAGCAATGAGAATCCATTGTATGTCAAATTTGCTTTGGATTTTGGATTAGTCGGCCGGACAGGTCAGGATCTTGGGTTGACATGGCGCGCACCTACGATTGCGAGAAGTGGATGGGGTGCACTTGTTGGAAACATTGGAGAAAATGCGCATAAGAGACTCGATGGCGAATCTGCACCCGAAGCAAAGCCTCTCTTACGAATTTTACCAACTGGCCCGGCTCATACTGTTCTCAAGAAGTTTCGAAATCGTACAGTATATTCGAATGTTGTTAATGATGGAATCGTGCCTTTGAGGACTAGTTGTTTACTCTTCCTAGACTGGCAAAGTTTAGGTCGGGTGGAGAAAGCTAGAAGGGAAAATGGTCTTGTTGGTACTATGGCGGAATGGAGTTGGGCTGAACTTACCGGGGCAAATTCTGGGTCACCCGCAAAGAAGCAAGCACCTTTGTCTGATGAGGAAGTTAGTGATATAGATGATATTACCGGGAACGCTTCTCCTGCTGTGTTGCAAAGACACGAAACCGAAGTACCACAACCTTCAGCAATTGTCATGGATGATGATAGACGGAGCTTAAAGAACCTGGATATATCCGGCCATTCTACTATATCTTCTATAGAAGGTAGAAGCAGTACCGAGATTGGAAGTCCAACCTCAACCTCCTTCTCATCAAACAATAATGGACCACTTGCAAGTCTATTCGGTTTCTTTCGCTCCAACCCATCTCCAAAACCTAATGTTCATCAACCTAAACATTCGAAAATATATAAACGAAGTCAGACCATCAAAATTAATAACGATAGCGAATCTTCCACCCCTTCACTTTCTCCGACTCCTGAAGGCCGATCCAAAGTTTCAGCCGGAAATACTGAATCCCAGGATACAAATCTTCCATCAGCACCTCCCAAAACAACATTCTTTGAATCAGCAGGTGATCTTCTTAAACCACCTCTTCCATCTACAGAATTCTTGATCGACCCGAGCTCCCGTGCTCGAACAATTTTTCATGATCGTGTGTATCATCCTTCGGATATCCCACCACTACCTCTCAAGAAACGATCTACTTTGCTTCGAAGGCGAAATTCTTCTATTTCCGAACCTGCCACGCCAACAACTGCCTCTCATACCGATAGTCAACTTTCAGCCCTCGATTATGATGACCCTAGAAATAGTACCTCTTCTCATCCCCCCAATACGGTAGTTGATTCCTCGGCAATGAAGGTTGAAGAGAAAATCGCTAGAGCTTATCATCGCGATCTGAGTTGGCGAAAGGTTCTCGTGAGCTTGGAGCCTGATGCTCATAATAATATGATTGTGAGACGAATGTTTGCGAATGCATATGGTTGGCCAGTGGTGAAACATCTTTGTGATACTCACTTTTCCGATGATGCAATTGCGAGAAGAAAGGATGAAGATACTGGTGGACAAGAAAGAGCTAAAGCTGTCGAGGATGCTCCAGGCTCAGAGGGACAAGAAGTGGATTCTTCAGTGGATGACCGGAATTTGCAGAAGACAGACGAGGATCATATTACTCGACATGATCGTACAAATTCGGAGGCCGGAGAAGCTAGAGATTCAGTTTCTGCACTTGGGGCCCCTACTCCGTCAATGAAGCAAACATCGGCACCTATAAGAACTCCGAGCTGGTCGAAGAAACAAGATGGGTATGAGAGTGCCGGGTGGAGCGATAGGGATTGGGTTGATAGCGCAGATGAGAGTGAAGAAGATGAGAATAAGCTGGCCAATTCTGGATGGAATTGGACTGAGAAGATAGTTGGGAAAGGTGCAAATGCATATAAAAGTCAAAGTGGCAGTCCTACGGAAAGAGGAACCGATAGAAAGGAAATCTCCCAGTTTTTGAGAAAAGGACCTTTAGTTGCGAGTCCTGAACCGGTTGAGGGGAACAGCAAAGAATTGGGACGGGGTGGAATCGGAAGTGGAGATTGTACTATTCCTGTTCTTAGTAAGGATATAGCTGGGATGGGTATAGGATTAGATGGAATAAGCGTAGGGGAATCTGAAGTGATACCACAACATGAACTTATGCCACCAGGTAGAAAAGATTGATTTTAGAGACTGCAATCCGGTTGGGAGAAACCCTATGGAAATGATTGCATAGCTATGGAGTTTTTATTTTAGATGGCATGGATAACACTTTTGTAATAAGAAATTTAAACTTTTCTATATTTCTCCATGCGTGGATTCAACAAGATTAACAGCACGAAACCTTTGTCAGATATGCTCGCCCCGATATAGTAGGCAATAAAACCAAGTCTATTTAGTGTAACCGTCATTTCTCCTTCCACATCACTGGGCTGGCCTTTACTACTAAAAGGATTAAAATTTCAACATCGTATCCTGCCAATCGCATAAAAACAGTAATAAAGCTTCTTGTCAAGCAAATACATGTAATGTAGCGAAGCCCTCTTCGCATTTACTACTCATTGCTTGGTGTTCACCTCCTCCTTTTCAATTCGTCCCATTCACTTCGTACTATTCACTATTCACTCCTTCCCATTTTTATTCGAAGTTCCCCCAAGTATAAGTGAATAGACGAATTCCTATACAAAAAGTTTTGTTGCACGTCTGACAGCCCTAAAATACAGGCTATGAGCCTGGAGTTCAGGGCAGAGTGACACGGGTAGTATCTCATATACAGTGCTGTCAAGAATTTTTATAGTGACTCAACTGTGATCTCTAGCATGTTGTTATAGGGCATGAGGAATGGAGACTGTAGTGACTGTACTGAAAATGAAACCGGAAACCCTATTGCTGATAGCTCCACGAAACACTAACACAATATACATTGGAAACAAAACTGGAAATCTTAGGTCTCTCAAGTATGTAAAATAAAGGGTATAAATCGTTACTATTCTATATATATTAAATTCACCCCTCAGTGAAAAAGAAAATGATTCATAAATTTGCATAGATCGTAGTCATTCAGAGACATTTTCAAACTCCTAATCCGCCGGCCGGGTATTGATCCGAGTTTTGCTCCATATAAATTAAAACGACATGACAATGACAATGTCCATGTCCACCAAACTACCAATCCGCCGCATGCGACGACCCCGCTCGTATTTTCTCCAACCATCCGTAAGTGCGTGGTCATCGTATTATTCAATTCATCCCGGAGTCCGCATATGAGAAGCTTCGTAGCCAATCGTGACCTCTCTCGTCAATCAACACCTTTTCCTCTAATCACAAGCCACTCTCAGACCTTTGGTGACAAAGGAACTAAATCAAGAGATTGGCTCCGCAGGTGGAGCACCAGGTGCAACATAACTTCTCCAAGCATCCACTCTGTTCTTTCCACTTCCAAGCCCAGCAAGTATTGATGACTTTGTCTTCTTTTCCTTCTCCTTCGTTTTTGACGCAGAACTAGAAGTCCTTGAAGGAGTGACGGAGACCCTCGAAGCCGGCGCATGGATAGCTGGTTCAACCTTAGAATCCGTCCTCGTTCTTCTCGGCACCACAATATCTGATGCTCTCCGTGCTTGACTATTAGCTCTTGTATCGTCTCGAGTGGTATGTCTTCTGACGAGACTTGGTGCAGCCGGAGATTGAGGCTCCGGTACTGAACCTGCCGGAGGAACTGTTGGGTAACGTTCGGTCATTTCAGCCACGGTTGGATTTGCAGCAGTTGCCCCTCGAGGTCTCAGAACTCCAGTAAGAAAATTGGTAACTCCAAGCCCAAAGTTCATTACCCCACCAGGTTGAGCTATAACATTGCTAGCTTCGCGTATATAATCTTGATTCATGAAATGGTATGCGCCATTGCCGACTCCTTGAACATCGCCTATTCCACCATTATAATCAGCGTCGCGATGATTTGTTGGCATACCATCAGTACCCCAGTTCTGTAGTTGTCGAGCTACTCTTTCATCTTCGCGTTCTTGGCGACGTCTGTGAATAAGTTCTTCATTGTAGTTAGCAGGTGGCTGCCTTCTCGCTCTATCTCGAGTACCTCGCGCAGGTGGTGCTGCAGTCCTCTCGGGAGCGTCTTGAACAGGGACGGGTTGAGGAAATTCCATAGCAGTTTCAACGGTTTCGTAATTGAACCATGGACAATTGCATGTCTTCCATTTCAATCCACAGATCATACAGAATTGTGCTGTGCAGTGACTTTAAGATTATTCACGTGAGCTGTTGACCTTTCTAGCCGAGCAAGGATTCTTTTACTTACCAAGTCATATGGTTACACCCTTCTTTCAACTCTACCATAGTCCTACAGCTATAACACCGTTGCCATCCAGCTTGTTTTGCCGTTTCAAGCAATTTGTTTGTTTCCTCGTCCTTCGGGCACTCTTTCGATCCATGCCATTTGCCATTACACAATGCACACACTTTCGTCTTACACCTTCCACAGATTCCATACTTCTTTCCATTCTCCTTATGTATATTCTCGGGCTTAATCCATTCCCCACATCGTTTCGCTGGACAGTATATTCGATTTTTGGTAGTATATTCCTGATATTTCTTATTCCAAAGTTTTTTGAACGGTATATCAAATAGTTTCTCGACATGTTTTAATGGGATATGTTCGGCTGTACAACATTTTGGTGGCATGTGTGCCGGATCTTTAACGGAGAGTCGAAATATCCGTTTGAGGCAAGAATGGCACATCCGATGGCCACATCGTAATTTGGCACATTTGGACTTGGGAATATCGTCGGATAAACATGTCAGACATTCGACTCTATGTTAATTAGCTCACAACTTTTGCACTTGGCGGAATATCTTACAGCTTTTCTGGTTCGGGAGGAGCTGGCGGAGGAGGTGGTGGTCCGGATGAGAAGAAACTTCCTAGAAAGCTACCACGACGTTGTGAGTTATGTGAAGTGGCTGAATTCGCTATAGATTCTGGTGCTTTTGGAAATTCTACCGTCGTACTACTCCTCCTCAATGGTGGCGTAGGATCTGTGGTAATTCGAGTCGTTGCACTCCTATACATATAATTAGCATACAGTAGTGTTTCGTAAGATGCACAAAGCCATAACACATACCTTGAAAGTGGAGGGCGTGACACGGAATCGCCAACAGTGACTTTAGTTCTATGTGATGTACTTTTCGACCCTGATGTTCCAGCATCTGCAGAACGCTTTGTCGGTATCTTGTCTTTATCCTCTTTCTTCACCCTACTAGTTGAACTTGACCTTTTTGGCTGCTCTGGAACCACAACCTTGATCTTTTTCGATTTCGAGACCATAGGTTCTAATTTCGATTTGTCCTCATTTTCGGAATCACTGCTAGATTCATCCTCTTCGTCCCGGCGTCTCCTTTCCGTTATGTTTTTCCCTCGTGCCTTGCTTTTACTATCACTCTCCCTCGGGGCGTCATAAACAAAATCACTTCTCGGTTTCTCCTCTCTATCACTTGTTTTCGATCGCGAATGATGTCCAGCACCGTCTTCGGAAGTATGATGTCGTCTTCTTCGTCTATGACTCGATGATGACTTTGTCGCATCAACCGTTGCACTCGATTCTGCGGGCATTCTTTCGGTTGCTGCACTGTTGCGGGTTGATCGACTTGTCGAATGCCCTTCGAGTCTTTCCAAACGAACTCTCCGCACTTCAGAAACATCTGGCTCAACTGATGTGACCCCCTCCCCTTCATGGCGACCCGATCGTGATTTATGAACTTTGCCATCTTCTAATTCGCCATCCCGAAATTTTGGCCTACGCCTTACCTTATGGATATCATTTGAACCCGCCATTCGAACATGCGAATCCAATAACCTCAATTTAGTTGGGCATTTGAGCCTAGGGATTTATCTTCACCGTGTAGTAGAAACGATCGAACGGTGAACATTTGTTCGTGTGAGATAGGATACTCTTCTGCGGCTGATATGATTGATTGGTTATAATAATTTGATATTTGCTGACAGGCTTTGCATATGTAATAACAAATGGGGCTGGAAACTTGTGTGCGGGTACGCAATCAAGACGTTGTGCCTATCCCTATGGCAAATCTTTGCTGTCCACGGAGGTTTTTTGAGAGATCTATTCGCAGGGACGGACGGGTACCTGGGGATAAGGATAAGGATAAGGATATTGGATATTGGAGAAAATGTATGAAGATATCGGAAAAGTCGACGTTGAGTCAAAACCTGGTCGAGGAACGCTCCACCCCCTGTATGAGTTGAAGTTATACTTTACTCAAGTACTTTGATGGTGTTACCGTTATCGTTCGTATCTGCGAGCTAAGGAATGGAAGGATTTGATGGGGACGGAAAGGTAGTACAGCCCGCAAAATAAAACAACAATAATTTTTGGAGTAATATTTCTTGCAATGCGACACGATAGCTTCATTAGTATTGCTCATTTTCTTTAAGTAATTATTGCAAGTGTTAATTAGCCAAAAAGATGAGAACATACTAGACGAAGCATAATAACATATTTACCGTTGATCTCTAAATTAGTATACTATCCAAGGCTACTGAGTATAAAGTTGTCTCACATAGCGAGTGCTTGTGTTCTTGCTCTTGTACAACCTATCTTTGCAATCATATTTTAGTTGTGCCCTCTCAACTTTGGACACACAATCTACTCAGGGTGTTTACCCAGGTATGAGTGAAGTTGGTTTATCTGATATTAGGAAAGGCCAACACCCAAGCTTAAAAAAGTCGTGTAATTAGATTGGGTTATTCTGTTCACTCGCAAGTTCCCAATCTATTTCCACTTACGTGGCTAAAGGACGTTTCTGTTGGCGGCAGTAGCTCTCCATAGATCTGAAGTAAAAGTACAAGAAATGGTGATTGCATTCTCTAATAATGATCCCAGGATATCGAAATACATCTGCTATAAATTGTGTATATGCAAAGTTGTTTGCCCTTCCTTCCACATTAACTTGTCAACCTACTATTTCATTGATATTTACTTTTTTGGAAAGTATTTCGACAACCCCTTGACTTGCTTGCCCATGATTGGTCATATCATGTAGGACAGGATCGCTCAATTGTTCGGCAGACCTTCCTAAGTTCCTCCCAAAACACAACCCCGCAACTCCACGAATTGTCAATCATCTAGAGGAAACCTGAGGAGTATTTACATAAATACGGTCTTTTTTCTTAAATCTCAAAAGATATTCATCTTCAAAATCGTCAATATCCTGGAGATATATTCATCATGGCAGGCGAGGATTATGATCGAAATAGTTTGGTTAATCGTAACTTACCTCAGATGCAGCTAGTAAGCAGCTTCAACTGTAGCTCAAGCAGCTTAGTGCCGCCCTCCATAGATATTCAAGAAAGCCCAACAAGCTCAGACACTGTTCTCGATAGATTCACGGTTAAAGGAAATGCCATAAGTACGTTCTCCCTCCCGAGTGTCATTCTTGTCCCTCATCTAATGATTTATCTCAGTCACGGGAGGGGCAGGAACTTTAGCGTTACAAGGAGCTCGCGCCCTTCTCGAGCACGGTCTCAGCGGAGTAGCTCTATTTGATATCAATCCACAGCCTGATTCTCCTTCCATATTTTCCTTGACAGCAGACTTTCCTCATGCAAGAATCCTCTTAATATCAGTCGATGTCACGAACGCTGGTAACGTAAATCAAGCAGTCCAGGAGGCAGCAATCGCATTAGGAAGTATTGATGTACTATGCTGTTACGCTGGTGTTGTTGGATGTGTGCACGCACTCGAGATAAGTATCGAGGAGTGGAGACGAACGCTGGAGATTAATACCACCGGGGCATTTCTGTGTGCCCAGGCCGTTGCCAAGTATGTGTCCTCCGTTGCGCAGAGATGAATATACTAATGTTGGAGACAGAAAGATGGTCGATCAAAATTCCGGTGGTTCAATTGTGTTTATTGCCTGTTCGTGTCGTCCACAAATCATCAAGCCACCGTTCGGTGTAAACGACTAACGTTTTCTAGCAATATCCGCCCATACCGTTAACTATCCTCAACCTCAGGTTGCTTACAATGTTTCTAAATCTTCTCTACTTCACATGAAATCGTGTCTTGCAGCCGAGTGGTCTAGATATGGTATTCGAACGAATAGTATCTCGCCTGGATATATGGATACTATTCTCAACGAGGGTGGTGGATTAGAAGAGGCAAGAAGTATCTGGACTTCCAGAAATCCCATGGGTAGGATGGGGAAGCCGGAAGAATTGAGCGGGGCGTTAGTGTTATTGTGTAGTAGGGCGGGGAGTTATATTAATGGTAGCGATTTGATTGTTGATGGTAAATATCACCGTGAGAGTGGAGAGAACCAAAGGAAATGCGCTAACGGTTTCACAGGAGGGCAGACTGTTTTTTGAGTGTTCACTTGTGGCATTTGAGCTGTGATACGGGAGAAACTATTAACGCAACGTCCAATTACGTTAGTAGATTGTACTTCCTCGCAAAGTGCAGGAGAGTGAATTCGTATACCGGTATCCATATCAAGAATGAACTTCAATGAAGTATCTTAATATCTTTGGATGCTTCTTTGATAGGTAGAGTGTTCCGTTACCTTCTCACATATCATGTACAAGCAAGAATTGTGGAAATAATTTCTTGGCTCAAGATGGGCATACGGGACATCTTGACACAACCCCAGTTTTGATGATATTCAGCTGCCATCTTGTGGAAAAGAAATCTTCACATTGACTTCCAGAATGTGAATTAATAAGATTTTGGCGGTCGGAGGTAGATGAGGTGGACTGAGACTGACTACAGATTTCTTTACTAGTTGTAGCCGATCGGTATTGAATACCAATGTCCCGAGTGGTTGGTGATATCAGCTCTATTGTTCTCATTCACAGTTTCAAATTATGCGAGCAAGTTATGTTCGTTATTCTCTTGTCTAATGATGGTGGCGAATACTGGAGTATTGATATGATTGAAGATCTTATTGTTAAAATAAATAAAAAAACCAGAAGAGCATAGCATCCTTAAATGTATCAATCTTGGTCGTAAAGCCTTCCCTGGTAGTTCGTCAACGAAGATGGCATGGAGTGTCTTGGTATCTTCAATATATCTTTCCTCGTAGTCATTTTTGTAGTAGCTTCATTTCTTTCGTTATTGGATCTCTTGCATGTCAAAAATGTCCTCTGATGTAGTAGTCGCATATGGTATCAGTGTGTTCGAATATCGGAAAGGAAGGCGATCGAGTAAATTACTGGCTTGGGTCATTGTTAGGGTTGTCGTCATGCTCAAGGTTGTAATGTTCATGTTGATGCTTATGTTAGTATTCTCATGCTTGATGGTGAAAGAGGTACGAAATGAGGAGAGAACGATGAAATCGAGGACAAGGACCATTTTCAGCAAATTAAGAATGTAGTTGATGAAGCATCACACCCTGAAGTTTACCGTATGGGAGAAATGTAAGACTCCATTTGTATGCCATATTGAAGGTGTTCTCGCAACCTATCCGCGAAACTTCAAAGATATTTTGACCTAGAATACCGTTGATCTCACACCCTTACCTTCGCAGCGTCACCTTTCTTACCCTGGTCTCCTTGTCCAGTGTTGAATTCGTGAAAAAGATACGGTTTCAGGTAAAGATATTTTGAGACTCCAAGTAAGGTTACACGCAAATAGCAATAATGGATATATGTCACGCACCTGTCTCTTATCGGTAACACATACTTATATTTGCGGATTGAATTTGAGAATGGGTTGAATCACATGGGATCAAGTCAATGCTAAGAGATCAACCTTTGTGCTTGCAGTTGGATGTGGATTGGCTAGAAAAAAGAAAAACGTCCGATTCACTCAAAAGACTTATCTCTATCGAGAAGAGACAATGTTACCCAGGGTTGCATTCGCGTCCACACTGCATTCGAATCGCGTTCCAGGCTTAGGCGTTTATATGGCGGAGATTCTTAGAGCATGGATACCCTGATAACTTCCTCGTACTTGTGCCGTTACTCGAGTATAAAGTCCGTGACTCGGGTATGTGCTAGTGCGTACCACAAGATTGTAAACTACCAAAAGGAATTAACACCCCGACTTTCTTACTCCCGAGCTGCGGACTGTTTTGGCGACACGAGTACATACTACAAAGCAATCGCTTGGAAGCGCAAGAAGCCATCAGTTTTTCCATTGTGAATAACTTTCCCGATTGTCAAAAAAAAAGCTTTGCGGCTTCCCGAAAACCTTGGAATTAACACATCACTCACTACTTGTACACAATACAATAACTGCTCCGAAGAGTCATGTGGTAATTAGTCTCGTTCGATCCATTGAAAAGGGAAGGTGGGATTACCACACACGCGGGTTTTCTAATCATGGCACGATGTCGAAATAAGTTGATTGTTGGTTCCTTCCACACGAGATAAATCCTTCACATTTTGAAAGAAAAGGGGGTACTGTAAACTGCTGTACAAGGATTTCCATAGGTGCGTTTGTAAAAACTTCCCTGCAAAACACCCCATTTTCTGTGTCTCTTGACTATGGTTTGAATCACACCGCATATTGTTCGGAAGAAAGGAACAGTTGGACAGTTGGTGCGACTGGGGAAAGCTCGTTCAGTATGGGGGAGATGGGGGAGCGCGGGGAAATTGAACCTTAAAGATTTAGCGTGGTTGGTGATAATCAAGTCACAGTTGTGGGGCATGGGGAAATAGATCTCAAGCAATTTCCGATTCGCGCGCATACAATTCATGACATTCATACCCATTCATACCATTCATACCATTCATATCATATCATATCATTTAAACGCATTTTTTGATTGGCGCTGACATACATACAGTAATAGTTGAAGCTTCACGTTAAGAAGATTACTAGGGGCGGGAAAGCTTCCCCATTCAGTGTAGATTTTACCACCAATAAGGATTTTGTTCATATTTAAAGTAGGATAAGATATAATGTCCCGACTCGCCATAAAATCTTCTGATGTTTGTCTCGATTCATTTCGTGTGACAAGGCCCAATTCAAATTATCAAATTATTACGATTCCTTACTCACACGTGGTAATAAAGCTTTACCACGTCCTTTTCTAATATATATCGAAGCTGGTGAGCTTCTATTTATTCTCCTTAGCTTTGGTGCCACACTTTAAAAAGACATAGGTAACGACACAGCGAGGATCTTCAGAATGTCGAAAACACAGATTGATCCACATAACGAGAAGGTCGACATCAATGATCTAAAGGAGGAGCAAAATATCCATCAATCCGATGTTTTAGTCGACCAGGATCTCATGGCTCATGCCTTTGATGGAGAGAACCGCGAGCATGAGATGGGCATGTGGGAAGCAGTCAAGTTGTACCCCATGGCTTGCTTATGGGCATTCATCTTTTGTTTCACTATTGTGAGTCCTGAAACTCGATAGTAATTACCTGTGGAGCTTTGACTAATACTCATCAGGTTATGGAATCGTTTGATATGTTTCTAAACGGTAACTTTATTGCGCTCCCAGCGTTTCAGGAAAGATATGGTATCCTTCAACCAGATGGACTATATGCCATTCAAACGAAATGGCAAAGTGCACTCTTTCAAGCCGGGCAGTGTGGTGCTTTCATTGGTGTCTTCATGGCTGGTCCTGTCACGAATCGTCTTGGCTACCGTTGGACAACCATCATAGCTCTGATCCTCATGAACGCGACAATCTTCATCTCCTTTTTCGTAAGTTGTGCTGCAACGTTGTTTTTGTTGCGTTCGTTGACTGATTGCATCGTCATATTAGTCTGACTCGCTCGCTGTCCTTACTGTCGGACAAGCGTTAGAAGGTGTCCCTTGGGGATTTTTCATCGCAAATGCCCCTGCCTACGCCAGTGAGATCGTTCCTCTTGCCCTTAGAGGTGCATGCACGGCTACTCTGCAAATGTCTTGGTCTATTGGTAGCATCATCGTTGCCGCTGCAACATATGGATACAATAGTAAACCAGGCCCGTGGGCTTGGAGAGTGCCTCTTGCCTTGCAGTGGCTCTTTCCAGTAAGACTTCTTCTCAGATTTTGTATGCATGAAAGTTAACTCGTTTAGACTCCGCTCTTGGTCCTCATCTTTCTCGCTCCCGAATCACCATGGTGGCTGATTCGCCGCGGACGCAAAGAGGAAGCCCTTCGATCCGTCAAGCGCCTTGGTCGCACCTCCCATGAGCACTGCGAAGGCCAAGTTGCCATGATGGAGCGAACCGTTGAGATAGAAAAGAAAATGGGAGGTGACCCCACCTTACTCGACCTTTTCAAAGGTACGGACTTGAGGCGAACGATCATCACCTGCTTGATATATGCGTCGCAGAACTTTGCAGGGAATTTGATTGCCAACCAAGCTACTTTCTTCTTCGAGCGTAAGTGATTATTTCCTCCCCGTTTAAAAGCCATGCAGAACTGATTGCCCATCAGAAGCCGGGATTAAACCAGACTTTGCTTTCAAACTCAACTTGATCAATTCATGTCTTCAATTCGTTGCCAATATCCTCTCTTGGCCGCTTACTGCCAGATTCGGTCGTCGAACAATCTATCTCTGGGGTACAGCCACGAACCTCACTTTTCTTTTCATTCTGGGTATTATCGCCGCCATCCCGCAGAACCACCACACGAACTACGCTCAGGCGTGCTTAGGAATTATCATCTCGTTCGTGTTTGCTGGAACCCTCGGACCCATCTCATATACAATCATTGCCGAGACCTCCTCAGTCCGTCTTCGCGCTTTGAGCACTGGTGTTGGTCGTGCCGCCTATTATGTTGCGGAAATTCCTATGATCTATCTTGCCTCGCAAATGCTCAACACGACAGGATGGAATCTTGCAGGCAAGTGCGGCTTTGTATGGGGTAGCACCGCTGTCGTCTGTTGGGTATCGGCCTACTTCTTCCTCCCCGAGCTCAAACATCGCTCTTACCGTGAAACCGATATTTTATTCAATCGTAAGATTTCTGCTAGGAAGTTCAAGACGACCTTGATTGATGTAAAGGATAATGAGTAAAGGATCGAGATTGGGCAAGAAAACGTTGAAAGCTTAGTATTAGTTAGGATAGAAGAGAAGAATGCTTCGAAAGAAGAGATGGTCGGAATATGATAAAGAACTAATAAGCTATAATCGTAGAGCATGTATACATTGTTCACTTACATTAACGTAATCAAGCAACAAGGAATTGACTACATCAAAAGGCTGTTCGGAAAGCCGAAAGAATTTACAGACTTTCTCAAACAAACCAGATGTTTTGAACACCCCAATCAAGCCGAATTTAGAAAGTATTGATAGTAATTTAAGTGAAGATTCTAATGAATCTGATTCAAATGATTCTGATGATTCAAATGATTCTAGTAATTCAAATGATTCTAATAATTCTAATGATTCTAATAATTCAAATGAATTAGCAATTAATTCCGAAAACATTATCGAAACCTTTATTAAAATTTATAGTTCATCTTCTGGATTATTAAAAGAAATAGAAAGTTTGATTTTTAAAATAATAATTAAATGCTTTACTCAAAAAATCAATTTAAATATATTTGATAGTCCTATTAATTGTTTTTTTGCATGTCATTCAATTAGAAATGATAATTCTATTAAAGATACTTTAAATTTATCTCAATATTATTCACAATTCATTTATTGTAGTCAATTAATTGTCACTGAATATTCTATTCGTAGTTTAATTATATCCCCTAATATTCCTTTAAATAATCTTTTATCAGATTTTATGAATACAAATTTTCAAAATTCAAGTCATACTGCCTTATCTGAAATTTTATTGCATCGTAA